CTTGTATTGGAGCCTGAGGCCTCACATATTTCCATCTTCAAAGATTCAACAAAAAGAGGCATGAGGTAACCATTGGAAAAGAGCTCATCTGCATGAACAAGAGGGGACTGCAAAATTGGAAAGTCAAATCTGGAATCCTGTGAATTCTTATAGAATCTTTTAGAGGGCGGCATTCTTGGGTCCATCTCAATGAAGGAAGCTTCATCAGATGTATCAGGAGAAGTTCTCAGAGAGCTATCTAGGCTTTCTAGTGATGGCTTCAGGTTTACTAACCAACTATAAGAAAAGCTTTCAATAGAAAGAGGCTGGGAAGTTTCCATGGTTGCTACTCTGAAGGTATAGAAGAACTACTGGAAAGAATTGACAAATTTGACAGTGCAAGGGAAAGGAATACAACTTACAAGGTGGGTTATAGCAAGCAGAAGGCACTCCTCTTATGCAGCATATCTTTTGACTTATATATATATATATATATATATATATATACACACACACACACCCCTTAATATATCATCTCTCTCCAAGAATTGGTCATGTGGCTGTCTGGCAAGAGACACTGAATTTTAATAATTGGAAATGAGAAAAGAAGAAAAAGATATAGGAATGTGAGCACCCCACAAGACCCATAATGTCCTGTTTCATCTGTAGTTAACTTCATCTTTCCATTTTAATCATTTGTTGCTTTAAAATTTTTATAAAGGGGTTGGTTTGTTTCTGGACTTAGTCTAAATAACAAATCACATTCAAGAAATATTATTCAGATGTGGTACATTAGGAATCCAGAAAAATTAAGCAGGACCAGCCTTTAATGATTTAGAATGTTGCCTTTAAGCTTTTGTTCAGTAAAGTTGCCAAGGGGAATCGTTGCTAGTTACACATGCCGAATAGGAAAAGGTATACTTAGTTCAAATCCTCTGTTGTTCTGTCAAAAACTAGTGTTCCAAAACAATATGGGCAATGTTCTTTGCTATACTTTAAGTGTGCTTTGTTTTGTTATTGTCTTATTGTTACTGTGTAATATTAGTATTTGGATGGATATGGCCCCTTTGGAGTAAGAGTGACCATTTTGTCACACCTGACAAAAAAATTTACCAGACTGTCACGCGGCATATTTCGCTATATTGTCGAAATATGTTTGCAAGTAATTCGCTACACAGTGTAGCAAAATATGTCATGTCAGGATGCACAGTTAGCAAAAAATGACACATGTCAAGCAGGCAGAATTCAAGCATAATTCGCTACACAGTGTAGCAAATTTCTGCCTGCATGACACGTGTCATTTTTGCTGACTATGCATCCTGACATGGCATATTTCGCTACACTGTGTAGCGAATTACTTGTAAACATATTTCGCTACACAGTGTAGCGAAATATGCCGCATGGCATTTAGACAAAATTTACTGTTGGCGTGACAATTTGATAAAAAAATTTAGCAAACGTGACAAAATGGTCACTGTTTCCACTTTGGAAATGTGACTTCATCAGTGTGATGATAAAATTCCAACTGCTACAAGCCTGCAACATCAGGCAGAACCTAAATTATAAAATATTATTGTATTATATTTATTATCTGCATGTAACCTAAATGACATCGATATGCATATTTTATGGGATCATTATTATATGCATGAGATGCTCTTGAGACGACATTATTGTTTCATGAAGAGAAAAAGCAGTGTGCCATAGTACTTTTCATGCAATGGTTTTCAACTATTTTTTTTCATTTTGGTTTTCAACCCTACTTTTATTTCATAAAGATTGTGTCAAGAAAAAGAGAGGACTATATATTATTGTGGAATTGAGAGTTTAAATGGATAACAAAGAAAACTTTTAAGAAATAGTGATATCAGTTGAAAAAGGAAATTGAAAAATAAAAAAATACATAAACTCCTGGTAAAATATTTCAATTTAATTAACTACTTATTTAGTTAATAATCTCCATAGCGTAGTTAATGAGTAAATAACGGCAAAAAAATTAAAATATTATTATTTTAATAAATAATTACGAATATATAGCTGTTTTGAAATTATTTATGAATTTATTGCATTATTAGACGTGACTATTCACGCCCAAATTAGGCGTGACTCCCAAGGCATTCACGCCTAAATTAGGCGTGACTCGTCTGGTGTTGACACGTGGCACAAAAAATTAATAGTTTAACTGTAAAACTTTATAAGGTCATAACTTTTGACTTGGGTATCCGTATGAGGTAATTCTTTTTTTGATTTCACATAACTTTTCGAGATCTACGCAATGACATCTCATTTGATATATTTTATCTCTCACAAACACAATTCAAATTTGCAACAATGATACTATAAAGATGGTATCAAAGTGGATTAACTCATCTATAAATAAGATGGCACCAAATTTTCTATTAAATACAAAACGCAATCAGCTCCTGTTAAATACAAAACGCAATCAACTCCTATAACATTAAATTCAAAATTCAAATAACCTCTAGCAAATTTATTTGAATTGGCGACAATCTGTAACCAACTCATAAAATTACAACGCAATCAGTTCCTATTAAATACAAAACACAATCAACTCCGATTAAATACAAAATGCAATCAACTTATTGGAGGTTATTTGAATTTTGAATTTAATGTTATAGTACCATTATTGGGCGTGAATGAGTGCAATATATTTGTAATTAGGTTCAAAACGGCAACTTATTCGTAATTAATTATTAAAATATATACAAATTTATATAATATTCTACCAAGTGTTTAGAATATTTATTTAATTATTTTCTTTATTAATACAGATTTTTCAAATTGATTTTTGAGTTTAAATCACAAATTAAATCTTCATTTTGTTTTTCTTATTAATAATAATTTTTTTAATTTTTTTGGTAATACACTATATAATACAATTATTGTAAATTTTAATTATGTTTGTGAGAGATAAAATATATCAAATGAGATGTCATTACGTAGATCTCGAAAAGTATGTGGAATCAAAAAAAGAATTACCTCATTCGGATATCCGAGTCAAAAGTTATGGCTTTCCAAAGTTTTACGGTTCGTAAGTTGACTTTTTTTGCCACGTGTCAACACCAGATGATTCACGCTTAAATTAAGCGTGAATGCCTTGGGAGTCACGCCTAATTTGGGGGTGAATAGTCACGCCTAATTTAAACATGAATGAGTGCAATAGATTCGTAGATAATTTCAGAACAGCTATGTATTCGTAATTATTTATTAAAATAATAATATTTTATTTTTTTTCCCAGTAAATAACTGCAAACTAAACCACTTCAGTCATTAATTATTTTAAATTAAAACCTTTTCTATGACAACTTTTTTTAAAGAATCTCAAATAAAATGCACCAATAAATGAATTAAGAAACCTATTCCCCAAGTGCTATATTGCACTCACAATGCAAGAACAAATGTAAAAAAAGGTGATGGGCAAGTTCTCTTCTTAAAGGCAGGCACAAATTGATAAACTACTTCATAACTTTACCAACTGGCATGCGGAGCATTGATGTTGTCCTTGAATTAAGTTCAACATAAATATGAAATCTTAAAAGAACAAATATTATGAGGTTCTCATAGTAAGGAAATTCCAGGCTTTTTCATCCACTAGCAGCCTGAGCGGTGCCGGATAGGTTTAAATTTTAAAGAAAGCTACGTTTCTTTTCATCCCAAAATGAACAAATTAGTTTTGATAGGCAATATTCTGAAATTCTAACATTGCAGACAAGGGTCACTGCGGTTGTCGGATAAAGTAAACATCAACAAATGTTCCCAGGACAAAAGCCACCAAGCAACGGTTGCAAGTGACTTGAAAGCAATTGGTCCCCTTTTTTATGTCCCCATTTAAGACAAAACTAATTGCTAGTAAATACAACATTCATTAATGCAGTTTAATTTTGAAAAGAATGTTGCACCATTCATGCAAGTAAGAAGGACCCAAAGTATAACAGAAGCGTTTTTTATGAAAATCGACAGAATTTTTGTCTACAAGAATATAATTGCTGATGAATTTCACAATGGAGAATCATGACAACAGCTCAGCAGCAGGTAAAATGTGGCTATAGGCATTTTAGCAAACCACGTGAACTCATTCTATAACTATTTGTCATTACGTCCAATTCTGGGGCAAGGTTGAAGGATGTTAAGAGTGCGGAGGCGATCAATACATTATTGGGTTCTTTACTGCTAAAATAAAGCAAATTCTGTATTTTCATTTTTCAGTTAACCTTCATATGGATCCTCTTATGTCTAGTCATTCATTAATTGACAAATCAACAGTCATAAATCTAAAACATAATCATTTTAATCGCTGACCATTAATATATAAAATAATAGTTGAGATTTATGTTAAAATAAAATATGAGAGATTCGATTTCTCTCGCAGAATACCACTTCTTTATCTAACATTTATTAGACCTGGCAAGAGCTGATATCATTTCAATCAAAAACTTCAAAACAATGAATCAATCTATCTTTTTCACTTATATGATCCACAGTCCATTTCAAATCGATGTGAGACATTACAACTACTCACATTTGAATTTCCAATATTTTCCTCTCAAGTGGGAGGCCTAAACATAATACTTCCCCTCGAGGGCAAGCCTAACCCCTCCCCCCCTCTCCCTCAAGGGCAAACTTCTACAGAAACCTCTTTAAGATTAGAGTTACACTAACCTCTGTGAAAGTCTCTTCAATTATATCACCATTTTCAAATACTCGGTCAGCCAAACCATTAGCCTTGATCCATATTAAGTGGTACTCAGGAGCCCAAAACCTTTGCAATTCCAACCAAAAATAAGCTTAATGGCATTCCACAATAATCAAAACCTTAAGGCAATAAGTTTAAAGGTCCTTTCAATTTATATGTTCCTTATTTGGTCCATTTCTAACTAATGTGAGACTTCACCACTACTCACACTTTAATTTCCAATACCCCCACTTTTTTATATCAAAATTTGGTCAAGGCAAAAGTGCAACTCAATTTGGGTGACAATGAGTAAAGACAACGCGAGAAGTAAGAAAAGAGTCAAAAACAAAATTATTTCATGAGATCCAGAAATACAAAAGCATTCCACAAACTATGTAACAACATTGATGGCAAGAGGTTCCTAGACCGTACAAAGACAGCACCCATTACCATGCCAAGAAATACAAGTGGCAGCATCCTCTGAATGTTAAAATGTGCCAAGGCAAAAGCTACAGAGCTAACTAATATAGCACTCCAGACAGGCATGTACTTGGTTAAAGATGGGAGAAGGAAACCACGGAAGACAATCTCCTCCCATATTGGGGCACAAACTGAGACAACCACTGCATAGAGGGCCATTGCCACAGGGTCTCGTGCTACAATTGATTGCTCTACACTTGAGATGGTAACTGGTGTATATTGAAGAATGGGCAATAGGTTCACTTGTGACAGCTGATTGATAAGGGGGAACATGAGGCAGCCTAAACTGACATCAAACTGCCACTTCCCTTTGAGTTCAAATTTGAACCAGTCAGACGAAAGTGGTTGAAACTTTGCAAGACAACGATGAAGTATTGCTATCCCAACGACACCTTCAGCAACATCAGTCAAGAGGCTGTATAAAGCTTGTCCTCTGTATGTAAGAGACTCCTTTCTAAACCCTGCTGTGTAAGCTAAAAATGGAACTATCCAAGATCCTATTAACCAAAATGAAGCAATCCAGAGAAGCATAACCTGCAGAACCCAACTTAGTTTGCTCTTCGAGATGTTATGATACTAAGAAGAGACCAATCAAGTAGACTATATAGTTTCTAAATATTTGTTAATTAAATCCATTTACAAGTTCTTAATAGAAGTGAATTATAACAACCATACTATCAAATCAATAAAAAATTATAACAATTATCCAGCTTTGAGAAATTAGATAAAAGGAGATTGTTCCTGACACCAAAATTTAAAAGCAAGTTTGATACAGAGGACGATATTTTGTAGAATAGGAAAGGAAAAAAGAGAACAGAGACTGTAATGAATTAGAATAAAATAATCATTCCTATTCTAGTGAATGGTAACATATTCATTTCATAGCCTATTCTATATTTGGTACATGGAATAGGATCACAATTGTAATCAAATGACGTCAATAACCATTATAAAACCAACTATCATAATTATCAAGGATATATATTTCTATGTGCTTATTTTATGTTTGTTCAACTACTTTCCTTAACAATTTGTCCTGTCCAAATTAAGATGATAAAGTAGGAAAAGATAAAAAGTTTGATGCTAATTTTGAAAGACCAATTTATCAACTTTGCAGCAACTTTTTTAATATTGAGACTGGTAAAATCAATATAAAATTATTTTGTAACCATAGATCATCATTTTTATCTAAAATGAAGGGATAACTCTTATCATTTTGAGGTTAAAGTAAACGAGCAATAAAATATCACATTTTTGTCGGCCAGAAATCCCCATTCATCCTAAAAGAAACAGTAATGGGCATTCTTAGTTATGTGGAATCAGAGCATGCATGGAATGGCCCATTGCAAGACTTTTTATATACTAAACACAGAAGTAGAAGGTAAAGAGGCAGGAATGGAATCCTCAATCTAAAGTACCAAACATACTCCAAGCTTATATTGATAATGGTATCTAAATCATAAGAAAGAATATGCATTACCTGAGCAATGGTCTTGGCTGTCCAAGGAACTGTCCAGGGTTCCACACCATGAACGGCAGTTATGACCTGGAATGTTTTAAAACAATACTTTTAATGTTCTTGACACTCCCTAAAGATATTTGCATTATTTAACTAACATAGTTCCAGACGAATATTGAAGATTTAAAAGTAGATTGATGTTAGATAGTAAGAATCTCTTTTTAAGAGTAATTCAAATCAATTGGAAGAACCAGAATGACACAGGCTGATACGTATTAGCAAAAAAGAGTGAGGGTAATGGATTATAAATGGCAAACCCCGGTAACTCCCCAAATTGTGAAAGTAAGAGTGAGGGTCAATTGTATGCAGCATTACCAATTGACCCATTTAAATGAGTGAGGGTAATGGATTATATATTAGTAATGCTTTGTGTACAATTGTGTATGCCAATCTAATGGTTGAAAATACATCTTGTAGAACACATCGTTAACTACCAAAGAGAGAAACCCATTTAAATGCTCTCTCTCTTCTAAAAATATCAATTAATTCTCTCTCATATATAATCTTTCTTGTCTCCTCAACTCCTATACGACAATGTACACAAAGTGTAAAGTCTTTCTTTCTTTATTTTTTATTTTTTCTAACATGGAGTGTAAAGTTGAAATCAAAAGAACGAATATAGTTTGCTTCATACTTGTTACCATATCTATTATCTTTAGAGTTGAAAACTTACTTTAGTCATGGCTTTAAAACTAAAAAGAGCACCTACATCCTGAGAAACACAACAAACTTTTCCTTTGGGTAGTCAAGTGCTAATATGGAAATGGGAGTGAACACAAAGGAACTCCAGGTTCTTCAGATTGTCCTATGGCATTAAAACAGAATGGCATGTCAAATTTGTCAAGAAGATTCAAGGACGTGCAGGTTGGTAATTCAGTGGACACGACAAATGGGGAAGGCTTAAGAAGATGATGAACTATTTTCAGCTAATTGAAACATATTTCTTTCCATGATTACTTCCTTTCAACCTTTATTGTTATAGAAAGCTAAGCATTTTTTTTATTGGAACTTTAAATTTAAGAGTAATTGGGTAACGGATCTTACTCAGTCAATTGGAATAGCATATCCAGCCCCTTTTGTGGGAGAAAATAGTTAAAATGTCAAATAGCTTAAGGATATTCTTTCAAAGTTTTCATCTGCTACATATTTGATGAGAATTTATGAATGGATCAGATTGATTCATTCTTAGATTGTGTTATTGATCAACACTTGGTCAATGCTTATAATAATTTCGGCATAACAGGGCAATGTTTTGCTACAACAAGCACATGATGGAAAAAAATATAGGAAAACAACTTAATCATTTTTCATTGTTGACTTAAAATGGGATGAGATAACCTTAACGTAAAGCTAGAGAAGGTAAATAAAAAACGTGTTGAAGGATTAAAAAACAAAAAGGTACTCTTAAAAAAAAATATATAATTATTTATGAGTAATATGAGAGAAATGGTTTTAAATTACAGTCCCCAATTGCAGTTGCAGCCTGCAATATTGCGGTTTTGGCGGTCTCTGCAACTGCAATCAGGACCTTCGATTAAGGAAATGGATTCTCTCATGTGTTAAATAACATGGTCATGTCATGTGAGAAGATCTTAACCATCAATGTACAAATCAACAGTGATAATTTTGTAGCTCCATATTCCAATATTTTTTCCCTCTCATCCTTTATCACCATTAATTCACCCTTACATGGTTAGGATCCTTCCACATAACATAGTCATGGTAAATTACACATGAGAGAATCCACTCCCTTCGGATTAGGCTTTTACAGTTTACACTTACAGGAAGGGCGGGCAATGGGTTCGTTGGGCTATGCACTTTAAAACAGGATGAACACAGTCCAGGCATGAGCAAGATATAGAGAATTTAATAAATCAGAACTTACTAAGAGCCACAACTTCAAATCTTCAAAGCAAAAGATAGAAACTACGGTATAGCAAATGAATAATATCATTGTATACACTAGATATTATCTCCAATAGACTTGAATAAACAAATGAAATGAATACCGTATAGAGTGATGCAAGCCAATCTTTTTTCAAGTCTTTGGACTGGTCACCTTTGAGATTCACCAAATCTTCTGACAATTTATCTTCGTTGAACTCAGAACCATTAGTTTCTGATGAAATACTTTCATGCCCAGAACACAAAAAACTCCATTTCTAGAGTGGAGAAATGATTCAGGTCAGAATAATAACAACAATAATAAAGAAAACTAAGTAAACCCTGCAAACCCACTTCATACACCAACTACCCATTTCACAATCCAATTAAGTAATTAGATTAAATTTTAAACTAACTAAATTCAACAAACTTGAGCAAATGGGGCAGGCAAGAGCTTACGTTTGGACGAAAGGTGAATGATTGAAATGAAATGCGAGAAGAGATTGGATTGAAAAGGGAAACCCTAGAGTTGTGGCGAAGAGAGAGAGAAGGAAAGGCAAGGGAAGAAATGTTGGAGAACATAGCTGCAACACCAACACCAACACAAACACGGGATTAGATTAGGTGGAATCCGGAGATTGATGAACAGAGTTCCATTCATTACGCAAAACACACACACACACACAGCCCCAATCACAATGACCACACCATCTTATGTTATCTTCCACCAATGAAACCAAAACAAAGCAGACACAGTCAGTCCACGCAAGTGGGGTTATAGCTGCTGCTAATGTTATCATATTTATTAATGCCTAAACCGTCAATTAACCATACCTTAATAATAATAATAATAATAAGGAAAAAGTTCAAAAATTCAACTCATGATATTGCTTTGAATCATTTATATATTATTTTTGAGAAATATTATTATTCTTTTATATGAGATAACTTCTCTCATTTTCTCTCACTTCAATTTTTACACCTCATCTTTGTCTTCTTCTTTTTTTCTTTTTTCTTGTAATGGTGGGACCTCACCCACTTTTTCTCTACGACTAAAATAATTATCTTAGAAGATTAATAAAATCCTTATTTTTTTTCTAATTACTTAACCGGTGATTTTTTTAACCCTCTCCTTAACATTATTAAAAAAAATTAAATATACCTACTTTATCTTTTTTTAAGAAGAAGTAAAGTAAGAAAAAATAAAATCAAACATGGTAAAAATCACAATAGTGGCAAAAAAAACTAAAATAAAAAAAATAATCTAAATGAAAAATATATATACTGAATACAAAAAAATAGAAGAAAAATTAACATAAAAAATAAATAAATAAAATTACAGTTATGAATTTTTAATATATTTGATTTGATTTTTTTTATTTTCTTCATCTATTTATTAGGTCTCTTTTATATTTCTCTCTTTTTATTTATTTTTTGTGAAAATCTTTAATAGATGAAGTTGCAGAAGGCTAAAAAAAATCAGAAATAGATCAAAAATAAAAAGACCAAACATAACTAAATAAAAAATAAATAAAATAGATGAAGGACAAAAAAAAGAAAAGAAAAAACAAAATATATAGTAAACTCATAATTGTGATTTCTTTTTCATTTCATTTTTATCTTAATTTTTTCTTTTCTTTTTCGTCTTCAATTTTCTTTTCTTTTGGACTGATTTTTTTTTAAAATTTTAGTATTTTCTGTCACTCTTGTAATTTTTAATATACTTGACCTTATTTTTTCGTCTATTTTTTTTTGTCTTTATTCAATTTTTTTATTTAGACAAAATTGATTTTTTATTTTATTTTTCTTTTAGCCTTTTATTAAGTGTTTTAAGTTTTCATAACATCTAGTCTTATTTTTCTTTTTTCATCACTTTATTTTCTTTTTCTAAGAAGGATAAAATAGATATACTTAATTAAGTTCCTAACAATGTTAAGCAGGTACATGAAAAAAACCATAGAGTATAAATGATTTAAAGCAATACCATATGGAAGTTTTTTGAACTTTTTCCATAATAATAATTTTTTAATAATTTATTTTGCTTCCACCATATAATATATGGAAAATATATTTCTTATGTCACTACAGATGAGAAATTTTGCAGCAACGCACATGCAGATTCTGATTTTTTTTTTTAAATGTCAGGATCCGCATGTAAATACACTTGCTGTAAAATTTCTCACTTTCTGTCGTTGCAAAAGTGAGAAACCCATAATATATAACGGTAAATTATACTCATCATTATCTATTAAAAAAAAATTATACTCTTCATTCTCCTCTTTTAAGATATGTTTAAATTATATTGTTTTTTATTTTTAAAAAATTATACTCTTTTACATAATATATATATATATATATATATATATATATATATATATATATATATATATACAATTAGCTTATTTCGATGTAAATAAATCTTTTGATTGTGATGAGAAATTATGAATGGTCTTTGGGAACATTTTTCCCCTACCTTATAAGGTACAACTCTCTGGTACAATTACTTTTAAACATCACCAACCAATTTTAAGATTTTCCAAGTTGATAAGCTCTACAATTTTATTTTATTTTATTTTTCGGTACATATAAGCTCTACACTTAATTTGGTAGTTAATGTTAATAAGGTTTAAGACTTGACCGTAAGTTAATAAGGTTTAAGACTAACTGAAAAAGTGAAAATGTCTTAAAGTCACTCACATTGAAATGAAATAAATGTATCAAAAAATAAATAAATAAAATATATATATATATATATATATTATTTTGATGGATACCTTCCACTTGGTTGAGATATTTCCCTACTTCGCAAAAGCGTTCGTCTATCATTGGCATTTCTGATTACATTGACAGAGCGCAGGATATGTTTCAACGGTCTTTGTGGAAAGTGAAAATGACTATCATGAATTTGCTTATTTCGCCATTAAATTCCCATAAAAGTTCTTTCCTCCGGATTTTATACATATTGTATAACCGTTACAAACTTTGGCTAGCAACTGAATATTGTAGAACTCTAGAGGATAACAATGACATGCATCCACCGACATTGACCACCTTCACCCTTTATAATTTAACATCCAAAATATCCCTGTTAATTTCAGGTTTAGTGTGTGTTGGAAGGCTAGAACCAAGGAAAAACGTCACCCTTCACCCTTCATTGCTACATCTTACATTAGTATGAAGCTTTTACTTTTGTTGATTTCAAATCTCCTTTCACTATCATGACGATAGAGCATAGAGCATATTACACTTGTGGCCTATATTGTGAAAAAAAAAAAAAAAAAACATATTTAACAAAGACAACGCGTCATATCCCTAGCCTAGGTAGTTTGATACGGTCATTAGAGCAGTAATTAATAAGTACTAGTTTGAATCACAATCTGTAGACCGGAGTCTCCCTTGGTCTGCAATATCTTTTGACTGTCCCTGAAGTATTATTGATTTGGATGGTTAACCCCTGCATAACATGGCATGCCGTGAAGGCGTGAAGAGCTTCAAATGTCAAGGTGTAAGCCAACTCCACATACAATTGGAGTTGACAAAACGGGCCAAACTGATCTAACCCGCATTCAACTCGAAAAAAGCGAACAAAGTTAGAGTTGGCTCAAAAAAAAACGAATCAGAAAACTCAATCTAACCCGACCCGAGTCGGATTAGGGTTGACTCGCGGGTTGGTTCAAAAATATTGGCTTAAAAAAATAATTCGCGAGTTGGCTCAAAAATTGGCTCGCGGGTTGGCTCAAAAATCTTGGCTTGAAAAAATAGCTCGCGGGTTGGCTCGAAAATTGCTCGCGGATTGGCTCATTTTCAGCCTATTTAAATAATCATGTAGTTTTAATGCACCAGCTATGTGGCTTCCATTAGCTTAAATAAAGGGTTACAAAATGAAAAATAAAAGCAAAATATTTGAATTTTGAATTTTCTTTACAATAAATTTGCATCAGCATCAAGAAACAATCAAAATCACTTGCTATCGAGTGAGTAAGATATTTGAATCAAACAGAGCCAACACAACCTAACAATATAAAAATGGCAGGGATGTGAGAAGATTAGTGACTTAGGTTTAGAGAAGAAAGAAAGATGATGACAGCATGTGTGAGTTTTTGTTTTCATTTTTGTATATCATATTTTGTATTTTTTAAAAATAAAAAAAATCCCAACCCACGAGTTGGTTTATTTTTTCACAAGCTAGCTCGGGTCGGATTGACTCCAGTTAACAACTTATTTTTACCAACCCAACTAAATTTATTTTTGACGAATTATAAGCCAATCCGACGAAGTTAAAACTGATAATTGAAGTTTAGCGGGTTACAATGAGACCTACTTGATGATGTCTATTTCTTACTTTCTCTATCACATCCTCCATTGCTCCACTAGTCTTCAGTCTTCACTATAAAATTGAAATGACATCAATTAAATATGAAGTCATGTTTACGCAAATAATAATAATAACGTCGTAAAGAATGAGACTGAACAGCAGAACAAGCATTCCCAAAGAAAATTAAAAATTAGTAAATCATAACCCCTCCTTCAACTTTATTCGATTTGCAGCTTACTCCCTATGATTTTGATTTTTGCGATCTACCCCCATCACCTATGTTCCGCCATTATTACAATTAGAATAATATGTAAATATTCTTTTTGCTCTTGCAAATTTTACTATCTCCGTTTTAGTTTCTATCAAATAAAAATGTTCATGATTTTTAAGAAATTTAAAATAGACCCATTTAGTTGAAATCGTGGTTCCTCACAAATTCAAAAAAGATCCATATTCATCCCTAAAATAGGTTCATTTTGAATTTTTTAGGATCACGATGTGTCTTTTTATTTGCTAGGGACTAAAGCGAGGATCGTAAAATTTACTGAAGACAAAAAAAGAATATTTACTCTAGAATATTTATTACATTTACGAAGGACAAATAATATCATATGAAAATGCATTATTTCTTAAACCCACCCAAATGAAATTAATTTAGCATCAAGCATTGATTCGCAGACTAAAAAAAATAAAATGTAGTGAGCAAGCGGGAGGGAGGGGATTGGGAAGAGAATTTTAATTTGCTGTTTTTTTCTTTTCTTTTCTTTTTTTAAAGGAGGAATAGACGCCCAAACAATCACCTAAGATAGTGCGACACAATTTTAGCCTCCGTACAAACTAATCAACGTTAAAGTCAAGTCCAGAGAATCTGAGCTCCAACGTTGACCGTGTTTTCTTGTTGTTGTTGCTGTTCCAGTCAGTGACTACACAAAAATGGCTTCAGGTATTTTTCAGGTTGGAGGTTCTCATTCCCCAAAGTTGCAACCGCATACATTTACCCGCCAAAAGCTTCTGCCTCTCTCTCCGTCACTGAAATTGAAAACCCGACCCTTTCAATTTGATCTATCCAACCGATCTTCTTCTTCTTGTTCGTTGGTTGCGTCGGCAATCTTACCTAACTTTAACTTGAATGTCCCTCTCATTTCTCCCCACGACACATGGGGCAACTGGACCGCTCTCTTCGCCGCCGCTGCTTTTGGAATCTGGTACTTGTTCCTCTTCCTCTCCTTTTCACTTTTTCCTTTCAATTTTTATTTTTTGTTTAGTTGACAGAATTAATAGCATTAGGTTTTGTTTTATGGGATTGGATGTATTATTATTGCAAGGTCAGAAAGGACCAAGATTGGAAGCACGCTGAGTGGTTCTCTTGTGAGCATTTTGGTGGGACTTGCAGCAAGTAATTTGGGGATTCTTTCCGTTGAAGCTGGCGCCTACGATGTTGTTATGCGCTTTCTGCTCCCTCTCGCTGTTCCCTTGCTCCTCTTCAGGGCTGACTTGCGCCGCGTCATCAAATCCACTGGCACACTTCTCTTGGCTTTCTTGTTGGGTTCATGTAACACTTCTTTTGCCTTTCAACTCTTGTAATTTGTAATGTCAACTTAATAGTCCCATGATGACTGAATTTGGATTTTGAGAGAACGAAATTCGGAACCTGCATTCTCAAGAAAATGACCTGGCCATTAACTTTACATTACAATTCTTCAATAGGCTTATAAGTTTTCAGTTCACTAATCACTCCTGTAAGATTTGAACTTTACCCTAAGAATTTGAAGTTCTAAATAGTTCCAAAGACACACGTAAGGTCCAACATCAAGTAAAGTTCTTTATGATGAGGAAAACAAAACATAACCTCAAGTGTTGCCTTTGTCTAGTAAATAAAAATATTATCAATAAGGAACAAAATATTATGTAAACTGAATTAGAACTCAACTTCTGGGCATCAATAATACAATGTAACTAACTGTATTGTTTATGAAAGGATCATTAAATTTTATCAAATATAGATATGCTCTTTAAGTTGCTATTTTTCTTGATTCTGTTATATCTCATATCAAAGCAGCTTCATATGCAGGTTACATATACTATTTTCAAAAGTATACAGTCAGAGTTTTATTATTCATTTTCTCCGTTTTTTCAGATTATAGTGACCTCTTTTTTCCCCACCTGCATTATCATGACAGTTGCAACTACAGTTGGAACAGTAGTAGCATATCTACTTTTTCCAATGCGATCACTTGGTCAGGATAGTTGGAAGATAGCAGCTGCTCTCATGGGAAGACATATTGGTGGAGGTAACTCTCATTTTACTTCTTACGGCTCATTATTAATATTGCTGGAAATATTTGTATCTTCAAGTCAGACACGAGATAATTTTTTGTCCCTTTTTGTGCAGCTGTCAACTATGTTGCCATATCTGATGCCCTTGGTGTTTCTCCATCAACGTTAACTGCCGGCTTAGCTGCTGATAATGTTATTTGTGCAGTGTATTTTTCAACATTGTTTGCATTGGGGTCTACAGTGCCTCGAGAGGCCTCAACATCAGTAAACGGTACCTATACTTCTATTTTGATTATAATATGAATATTTAGCGTACATATTATTATATGTGACTTGAAATATTAACTATTATGAAGTATTTATTGCCTTGTAATGCTAATTGCTACTAGATATGGCAGTAAGAATTCAATGATGAGCATCTATGTTTCACAGATTACACCTGACTGTGAATTATATTTTATTTTTTGTCAGGTGATGGAATGACTACCACATCTGAGTCTGGTAGCAAACTTCCAATGCTACCTATGGCTACTTCTCTTGCTGTGGCCTTTGCCATCTGCAAGGTTGCCACCTTTCTTACAGGGTATTTTGGAATCCAAGGGGGCACCCTGCCTATGGTAACAGCAATTGCCGTAATTTTGGCAACTGTATTTCCCAAACCATTTGCTTCTCTTGCACCCTCTGGTGAGGCTATGGCCCTTATTCTCATGCAGGTTGGTTGGTGTTCAACATAGGCAGGCTTTTTCACTTACTATTAAAACTGTAAGAGAAAATAAGTTATTGTGTATGCACCAAAGATAAGAAAGATACGAACAAAAAAATTGCATGAAATGTTCTTTTTTCTTTTAAAAAATTAGAGAAGGGTGTGAATGTGTGATTATAGTGGGGAAGTGAATAGAAAAAATAAAGGATATTAACAATGAGAATAATGGAGGTGCTAGGGGAGAAAATTAGGCAGTTATTAAAAAATATTGAAGTATTTTATTTAACATTTTGAATTACAATAAAAACCTTGTAAATCTAAGTAAGGATATTTATGGATTATTTGAGACAAATTATTTAGATTGAAAACGACGTCTAGTTTTGGACACAGTATTGTTTCCCTCTTCATTTTGTTTTTAAAAATCTTAACCATTGCCCCATGGTCAAGTAACAAACCAGATACGTATCCGATAAATACATAAAATGACAAGTTTATGGTTTTTGCCTCTTGTGAGGAATAGGTATTCTTTGCGGTGATAGGTGCAAGTGGGAGCATATGGAGTGTCATCAACACAGCACCTAGTATTTTTCTATTTGCTTTTGTTCAGATAGCAGTCCATCTTGCTATAATCCTTGGACTGGGAAGACTTTTTCGCTTTGACTTGAAGCTGTTGCTTATTGCATCAAATGCTAATGTTGGAGGCCCAACAACGGCATGTGGAATGGCAACTTCAAAAGGGTGGAGCTCTCTCATTGTGCCTGGCATTCTTGCTGGTATATTTGGAATTTCAATCGCAACTTTTCTCGGCATTGGATTTGGTCTGACAGTCTTAAAACACATGTGAAATTCCCATGTTCTTTATATGCAAACAATCCATGTAATCGAAGATCTTCTCCCTTTTCTTGTTTTAGACTAGTTTGTTGTAGTGAAAACTACACAACATGCTGGAATAATCTGAGACGGACATATTTTCTACAATTAGTGATTTTATAGAATTGTTCATTGAAGGCTATGATGCAGGCTTTAGAGATGATATCGAAATATATTGTTGATTCATACCGAGAAGCTATTCCAAATTGATGCCTACTTTTCGAAGAATTAATTAACCATAGTTTGGGCATCGATATGCCTCTTATTCTAATGAACGATATAGAAGGAGCTTCATCCCCTGTCTTTTTGAGAATCTTGGAGATGAGAGTCAGACATCCATTTTTCGAAACAGTGTTGAGTAGGCTAAACCAACTTTCGTGGAGATTTAGAACCAGCTACGAAGCCTCAAATTCTGACTATGGGTTAGCCGCAAATCCAAATGCAGTGTTTAGGAAGCTAAACCAATTTTGTTCGGGATTTTGGATCACGTAAACAAATTTCACAAATACAACCAGTTATAGGCCTAACAATACTCTCGATAAGATAAAATTCAAAAATTAGATTCTTAAGCAGTATGGCTTGACGGGTAGCTTCATAACAACCAACATTTATTTTATAAAATAATTGTTAAAACTGAAAGTTTAATTTGAAAAATGAGTTTAAATTTCTGTTGTAAAGTCTGAAGATCTCTTAGGATTTTTAGGATATTTTTGAGGTGTTTGTTTATTAACAAATAGGTTAGTAGTTTGTTACTATCTTGTATATTTGTTTCCTAGAAATTAGGAATTTGTTTTCATTCTTGTGTATAAATATACCTCACACGAGGAACAGAAATATGAGAGAAATGTACCAGACTACCACTATTAAAGTTTTGACATGGTATCAGTAATGTGGTTCTGATCCTAGGGCCTATATCCAATATTGCTTTACTTCAAACTCTTCCCACCCGTATTCTTTTCTTTTTTCTGACCCACCTACCTACTCTTTCACCTCATCTCTGTATTCTCCTCTGACACACCCACCTGCTCTTTCAATCCCATCCCATCTCTTTATTTCATTTTTTTTAAAAAAATAAAAAAAATACCAAACCCGTAATCCATTCCTACCCGTAATCAATCTGTCTCTCTTTCACTTTCCCAACCCGTCTTCCTCACCCGGTTTTTTTGACCCGTGTTCTTGACCCGGTTCCTTTTCTCATTTTATTCTAGTTATGGACACCGACAATACCATTCCTTCTCTTGAAACAGAGTCACCGTCTGCATCCATCCCTCCACCTCCCTCTAATATTGTTATCCATCAGGACAGCTCCTCTTTTCCGGTCACTGTAATCCTTGATGAGTCTAATTACCCTCTTTGGTCTCAGCTTATGGACATGAGGATTGGAGCTCGTAACAAATCGGACTACCTAACTGGTGCCGCGAAGAAGCCATCCGTCGAGGATCCAGCTTATGCGAGCTGGGTGACTGAAAACAAGCGTGTGAAGAGCTGGCTAATTGAATCAATGAATCCCTCCCTCATGCAACGATTTCTTCGTCTCGAGACTGCCTCCGAGATATGGGATGCTGCTCTTCGAACATTTTACGACGGGTCGGATGAAACCTGTCTTTTTGAGCTCAATCAGTGGTCGTTCACTACGAAGCAACATGGCCGTCCTCTTTCGGTGTATTACAATGAATTGGTTTCCATCTTTCAGGATATTGATTATCGTATGTCTTCTCAGGCCACTACGGTTGCAGGGGTTGTGGAGATGCACTCCACCGTGGCTCGCCTCCGTGTTTATATATTCCTGAGTGGTTTGGACTCTGAGTATGATTCGGTTCGTGGGGAGATACTTCGCAAGGACCCCAAGCTGGACCTCGAAGGGAGCTATGCTTACGTCCGTCGTGAACATCAACAACGTCTGACTATGGGGCGTCCTCCAGTTGGTTCTGAGTCATCGGCTCTCTTGACTCACTCTGCTCGTCCTTCTCCTGGTGGTTCTGGTTCCTCCAAACCACGCAAAGCACCATTTCCCAGCAAGACTAGTCCTCTTCTTTGTTCTCATTGTGGTGATTCTGGTCACACTAAAACTCGTTGTTATGAAATCGTCGGGTACCCTGAATGGTGGGATTTCTCTAAGCGCCCTCGCCGGAACGTTCTTAATAAAGCTCTTGCAACAAAAAATGGTGCTGACTCGTCTGCCCCTCCCATTGCTAATGTTGTCTACGAAGGTATCTTAGGTAAGTCCTATGGTTTCTCCACTCTATCTCGGAATTCTACTTGGATAATAGATACTGGTGCGTCTGATCACATGATTTCTCATTCCCATGCTTTAACTGACTTTCGTTCCACTTCTAAAACCATGATTTCCACTGCCAATGGAGGTACTTCCGTTATCACTGGCCAAGGTTCTATTGTTTTATCTCCAAAATTAACTCTTCATTCTGTTTTAGTAGTTCCTTCTCTTGAATTTAATCTTCTGTCTGTAAGTCAATTAACCTCACAACTTGATTGCAGGGTTATTTTTTGGCCTAATTTTTGTGTCTTTCAGGGAAACCAGAATCAGGAGATCCTTGGTTATGGTGTTAGACACGGCAAGCTGTATTTCTTGGACTCTTCCAGTTGTTCCCTTTCTCCTTCTGTCTACTCTTCTGCTGTTTCGACTTTGGATAATAAAACTGATTCTGTTTGGCTCTGGCACAAGAGACTTGGCCATCCATCTTTTAGCTATCTTAAAAAATTATTTCCACAGTTTTTTGTTCATTTAGATGTTGCTGATTTTAAATGTAAAATTTGTGAGCTGGCTAAAAACCACCGCAATTCTTTTCCTCCAAGTACGAATAAAAGTTCTATTCCTTTTGAAGTAGTGCACTCTGATGTATGGGGTCCCTCTAAAGTCTCCTCTCTGTCTAAATCTCATTACTATGTTTCTTTTATTGATGAATGTACTCGAATGGTGTGGATTACTCTGCTTAGAAATAAAAATGAAGTATTTTCTGCATTTAAGAAGTTTTATGCGATGGTACAAAATCAATATTCTTCCTCAATAAAAATCTTTCAATCTGACAATGGTTTTAGAATATATGAATGGTTTGTTCTCAGATTTTCTATCATCTCATGGCATAAAACATCAATCTTCTTGTCCGTATACACCTCAGCAAAATGGCCTAGCTGAGAGGCGAAATCGACAATTGTTAGAAATTGTGCGGGCTTCTTTATTTGGAATGAATGTACCTTCTTTTTATTGGGGGGAAGCTGTTGTCTCTACTGCATATCTCTTAAACAGAACTCCCTCTAGTGTACTCCATTTTAAAACCCCACAACAAACTCTTGAATCCCATTTTTCTATTCCTCATGTTCCTAATCTTGAACCGCGAGTTTTTGGCTGTACTACTTATGTTCATCTTCCCAAACCTACTCGGACAAAGCTAGAACCATGTGCAAAAAAATGTATTTTTGTTGGCTACTCTGATTCTCAAAAGGGATATAGATGTTTTGATCCTCCTTCTCATAAAATGTATGTCTCTGTGGAGGTCTCGTTCTATGAATCTGAACCATATTACTCATGGGGAGACTCAGTTTCTTCTTCTCAGGGGGAGCTTGTACTTGATCAGTTTGGAGAAGCAGAAATCCGGTTCTCTGATCCCACCAAACTAGTTGCACCTGTTATTCCTTCGGTTGCTGTCCATGATGCACCAACTATTCCTACAGTTGATTCTCTGACACTTGAAACACCGAGTCTAACTTCCATACCCGAGGACTCACCTCCACACATCCCTGAAAGACACACTGAACAGGTTAGTGACATACAAGCTGATTTATTAAATCCTGTGGAATCTCATAATTTTCCTACTGAAGTTAGAAGGTCTACTCGAACAAACAAAGGCATACCCAAACACTTTTATGAACCAGACCCCAAAGTGAAAACCTAATACCCATTAAGCAACTTTGTTTCTACTCAAAACCTATCTGAATCATGTGCTCTAACCATCAATCAATTGTCTAGTGTATGTATTCCGAATAATGTGCAGGAAGCATTGGATGATCCAAAGTGGAAGGCTGCTATGAATGTTGAAATGGAAGCACTTCAAAAGAACAATACTTGGGAGCTTGTGTCTCTACCAAATGAAAAGACAACAATAGGCTGCAAGTGGGTATTCAATGTAAAGTTAAAGGCTGATGGGAGCATTGACAGATTTAAAGCAAGATTGGTGGCTAAAGGCTACACCCAAAAATATGGAGTAGATTACCAAGAAACGTTTGCTCCGGTTGCCAAACTCAATACAATTCGAATCCTAATTTTCTTGGCAGCAAACAGAGATTGGCAATTGAAGCAGTTTGATGTAAAAAATGCGTTCTTAAATGGAAAATTGGAAGAAGAAGTGTATATGGATGTGCCACCAGGAGTAAAACTTTCAACCTCAAAAGAAAATGTAGTATGCAAGCTGAAAAAGGCACTATATGGCCTCAAACAATCACCAAGGGCATGGTTTGGTAGATTTTCTGAAGCAATGAAAAAATTTGGGTATACACAGAGCCATGCAGATCATACCTTGTTCTTTAAACATAGAGAAGGGAAAATAACTATACTCATAGTCTATGTAGATGATATGGTGTTAACTGGAGATGATGTACATGAAATGAAGTCACTTGAACAACACTTAGCCACTGAGTTTGATATGAAGGATTTGGGCCAGCTGAAGTATTTCTTGGGAATTGAGGTGGCAAGATCTAAACAAGGAATAATGTTATCTCAAAGAAAGTATATCCTGGATTTGTTGTCAGAGACAGGAATGCTAGCTTGTAAACCAGCTGACACACTAATAGAAATGAATCATAAACTTGGTATTTACCCAGACCAAGTTGGAACCGAGATCAGCAAGTATCAAAGGCTAGTTGGAAGGCTTATTTACCTATCACATACAAGACCTGATATTTCCTATGCAGTAGGAGTGGTAAGTAGATTTATGCATTCTCCTAGTGTAGAGCACATGAAAGCTGTCTTTAGAATTCTGAGGTACCTAAAAGGATCACCTGGCAGAGGCATCTTATTTTCTAAAACTGGAAAAAAAGGCATAGAAGGGTATACTGATTCAGATTGGGCTGGTGATCATACTACAAGACAATCCACTTCAGGGTATCTCACATTTGTTGATGGAAACTTAGTCACATGGAGGAGCAAGAAGCAAAAAGTGGTTGCTAGATCAAGTGTAGAAGCTGAGTTTAGAGGTATGGCTTATGGCATCTGTGAACTGTTGTGGGTTAAAAATGTCCTTAGAGATTTAAAGTTAGAAGATGATCAACCTATGAATCTTTATTGTGACAACAAGGATGCTATGGAGATAGCTCAAAATCCGGTTCAACATGATAGAACTAAACATGTTGAAGTGGATAGACATTTCATAAAAGAGAAGCTAGATCAACGAATTCTTAGTATTCTCTTCATCAAGTCAGAAGATCAACTAGCGGATGGTTTAACAAAAGCAATCTCTGGGAAGGCACTTGGAAATATAATTTGCAAGTTGGGCATGTTGGATATACATGCACCAACTTGAGGGGGAGTGTTAAAACTGAAAGTTTAATTTGAAAAATGAGTTTAAATTTCTGTTGTAAAGTCTGAAGATCTCTTAGGATTTTTAGGATATTTTTGAGGTGTTTGTTTATTAACAAATAGGTTAGTAGTTTGTTACTATCTTGTATATTTGTTTCCTAGAAATTAGGAATTTGTTTTCATTCTTGTGTATAAATATACCTCACAGGAGGAACAGAAATATGAGAGAAATGTACCAGACTACCACTATTAAAGTTTTGACAATAATTTTATGAAACAATCTTCAAAAACAAAAAAGCCAGAAGAGAATGATCGAACCGTAAATCGCGTATGCTGTTGACTGAAAGATTGTCAAATTAAAAAATCTCACGCTACTAAAACACAAACAGAGGCATCTACTCTGTTTTAGTAAATGCATTAAGTACACATAAATTGTTAAACATTATAGAAAAGAGAGCAGTTCAAGTCTTTTAGAGGATGGATTTCACTTTACCAACAGGTAATTTTATCTTCAGTATTTTTTTTTTTTTTTAAATTATAAAGACTGATTAGCAACTGAAAAGACATGTGTCTATGTGGTTAATTTGATTCTCAGGTTTCTCTCCTTGGTAGGGAATATATAATCCTATCATAAATTCTCTACTCTTGTATGGATACGTGTCTCCCTTAATCTGAATTTTTTAAAAAAGATTTGTGTATGTGTGTGTATTTTCTTGGTGAACAATGGAGCAAACATTGTGTTTTATAAGAGAGAGATAAAGATGGTAATTCTATCTATAAGATTACACTAATAGGTAATTAATTTATGGGATTGCATTTTCTTACGTGACAGATGGTATGATTTTTTTTCCTGTCTCTACATGTAAACGGGTCCCGCAAGTTAAAAAAAAAAAAAAAAAGCGCAGAGTTCGATGGCTGTGCAGGAAAAATGAAAAATTTTATGGAACAGCTGACAATCATTTTCCTTAATTTATACCGAGTAAATATTCTTTTTGTTCCTCAGCAAATTTTACAATGCCCTCTTTAGTCCCTAGAAAATAAAAAGGCTCATTGTGATTCCTAAAAAATTTAAAATGGACTCATTTAGTTGAAATTGAGATCCCTCACAAATTCAAAAAAAACCCATATTAGTCCCAAAAAGACTAAAATGGGTCTATTTTGAATTTTTTAGGAACCACGATGGACCTTTTTATTTTCTAGGGACTAAAACGGGTTTCGTGAAATTTGCCGACGACTAAAAAAAATATTTATTCATTTATATAATGATTAATATATTTATATAATTAAAGTTGGCTCTTCGAAGGAGAGTTTTCCCAGTAGTAATTTTTCATCAGCTTAATCTTTGAATTTTTACCTATTTCTAAAGGGAGAAGTGTTTGTCCTTTTAAATGACACAACTTATATACTTTCACTCTCATAAAGAGGTGAGACCTACACCTTTATATTTTTTTGTACATTCTCTCTCCTCATTTATCTATCTCTTTCTCTCACTTAAAATAACACAACTTTACCTTCTTTAAAACAATACACAATTTTCCAATTTTCAAATACAAAAGTTTATTCTAAATGGCATGCCGTGAACTTAGTTGCCATAATACAATTTAAGTTTCTGCCAATTAAAAGATACATCTGTGATCAATACCCAATGACAATAAAAAAGCTCACGCTTTCAATTTAAGCTGCATAATCATATTAAAAAAATAATATATAAAACTTAAAAAATTATTTCATCCAGAAAGTAAATACTGTTTATATTACTATTATTATTCTTATTATTATTATTTTGCATAGAAATGATATTTTATATCACATAATTTCCTCGCATTCCTGTAACTCGAGTCTCCTAAGACGTTGCATGATTTCCCAACTACTTTCCTCTTCTTATTTTTGGAAAAATCCCATCACATCTTAATTTGATATTTTTATAAAAATATTCAGTTTAGAAATCTTCAGACTTCAGGGCATGTTACGAACTACTATTTTTGTAAGAAAAAAACAAAATTAAAAATTAACGTGTATGTTAGATCCTTCTAAATTTTAAAAACATTGAAAAACCATTCTAGGAACTATAATTAATCGGACATGCACTTGTGCCACTGTGGCAAGTGCAAACATAAATTTTTATAAATAAAATAAAATAAAATATTTTCTGGATCCTCAACAAAAATTATGAGATTCAATTTAATTTTTTAGAAGAAAAAAAAAAGATTTGTGACCCTCTAAATTCCAAAATAATCTCAATTGGTCGAAATTGTGATCCTTCCAAAATTTAAAGAAGATCTATGTTAATTTTTCAAAAGTATTAACATAGATTTATTTTAAATTTTAAAATGATCATGAGTCGATTTTTTTTTAAATAATTAAATTAGACCCTGTAATATTTTTTGAGTACCCAAAAATTTTCAATAGACAAATTATTTATATTCTCTTATTTGTTAATATTTTAAAAAATTCTACAAAAATTTTTTTTTGGGGGCAACCCATTTGCAGACATAATGAAAAAGCCATTTCCGAGTGACAAAAACGTCTCCAGCGAAAAATTTAGAATTCGATTTCAGCTGTGTAGACATGTGTATTATTTTAAATGACATAAATTATAATATTTTAAATAACATAAATTATATTATTTCATAGAGATATAATGATTAGACACAAATTTTTACTTTTATTTTTTAGTAAACTAATATTTTTTATATTTATGAAATGACATAAATTATGATATCTAAAGTATCATATGCTTTTCTGGTAAACTAATTAATGATTATGCGGAGTTGAATTATTATCGGGAAATTAAGGTTAAAGTCAAGTCCAGACTCCAGAGAACCTGAACTCCAACGTTGACCGTGTCTTCTTCTTCCTTTTCTTCTTGTTGCTGTTCCAGTGACTACTCAAAAATGGCTTCAGGTATTTTTCAGGTTGGAGGTTCTCATTCCCCGTCGTTGCAACCGCATTCATCTTCCCGCCAAAAGCTTCTGCCTCTCTCTCCGACGCTGAAATTGAAAACCCGACCCTTTCTGTTTCATTTATCTAACCGATCTTCTTCTTCTTGTTCGTTGGTTGCATCGGCAATCTTACCTAAGTTGAACTTGAATGTCCCTCTCATTTCTCCTCACGACACATGGGGCAACTGGACCGCTCTCTTCGCCGCCGCGGCTTTTGGAATCTGGTGCTTCTTCCTCTTCCTCTGCTTTCACTTTTTTCTTCAATTTTTTTTTTTAGTTGACAGAATTATTTTTGCAAGGTCAGAAAGAACCAAGATTGGAAGCACGCTGAGTGGTTCTCTTGTGAGCATTTTGGTGGGACTTGCAGCAAGTAATTTGGGGATTCTTTCCGTTGAAGCTGGCGCCTACGATGTTGTTATGCGCTTTCTGCTCCCTCTCGCTGTTCCCTTGCTCCTCTTCAGGGCTGACTTGCGCCGCGTCATCAAATCCACTGGCACACTTCTCTTGGCTTTCTTGTTGGGTTCATGTAACACTTCTCTTGCCTTTCAACTCTTATAATTTGTAATGTTAACTTAATAGTCCAATGATGATTGAATTTGGATTTTGAGGGAATGAAATTCATAACATGCTTCTCAAGAAAATGGCCTGGCCATTAATGTCACATCACAATTCTTCAATAGGCTTATAAGTTTTCAGTTCACTAATCACTCCTGTAAGATTTGAACTTTACCCTAAGAATTTGAAGTTCTAAATAGTTCCAAAGACACACGTAAGGTCCAACATCAAGTAAAGTTCTTTATGATGAGGAAAACAAAACATAACCTCAAGTGTTGCCTTTGTCTAGTAAATAAAAATATTATCAATAAGGAACAAAATATTATGTAAACTGAATTAGAACTCAACTTCTGGGCATCAATAATACAATGTAACTAACTGTATTGTTTATGAAAGGATCATTAAATTTTATCAAATATAGATGGGAGCGGTTATACTTATTATCATTTTGAGTTTACTACTCTTACTACCTGATTGGTTACCCTTGGATCAATTTGAAATCAATGGCTAAGAAATTATAGTAAATATATCTATAAGGTAACCAATCAGGTAGTAAGAGTAGTAAGACTAAAATGGTAGTAAATATAACCTTCTCCAATATTGATATGCTCTTTAAGTTGCTATTTTTTTTTTATTCTGTTATATCTCATATTAATTCATCTTCATATGCAGGTTACATATACTATTTTCAAAAGTATTTTTGTCAGAGTTTTATTGTTCATTTTCTCCGTTTTATCAGATTACAGTGACATTTTTTTTGCCACCTGCATTATCATGACAGTTGCAACTACAGTTGGAACAGTAGTAGCTTATCTACTTGTTCCAATGCGATCACTTGGTCAGGATAGTTGGAAGATTGCAGCTGCTCTCATGGGAAGACATATTGGTGGATGTAACTCTCTTTTTACTTCTTACGGCTCATTATTAATATTGCTGGAAATATTTGTATCTTCAAGTCAGACACGGTTTCACTCTGATAATTTCCCCCCTTATTATGCAGCTGTTAACTACGTTGCCATATCTGATGCCCTCGGTGTTTCCTCGTCAACTTTAACTGCCGGCTTAGCTGCGGATAATGTTATTTGTGTAGTGTATTTTTCAACATTGTTTGCTTTGGGGTCTACAATGCCTCCAGAGGCCTCAACATCAGTAAACGGTAGCTAAAGTTCTATTTTGATTATATGAGTAGTTAGCGTACATATTATTATATGTGACTTGAAATATTAACTATAATGAAGTATTTATTGTCTTGTTATGCTTCTATGCTAATTGCTACTAGATTTGGCATTTAGAATTGAATGATGTGACTGTGAATTTTATTTTATTATTTTGTCAGATGATGGAATGACTACCATGTCTGAGTCTGGTAACAAACTTCCAGTGCTACCAATGGCTACTTCTCTCGCTGTGGCCTTTGCCATCTGCAAGGTTGCCACCTTTCTTACAGGGTATTTTGGAATCCAAGGGGGCACTCTGCCTATCGTAACAGCAATTGCCGTGATTCTGGCAACTGTATTTCCCAAACCATTTGCTGCTCTTGCACCCTCTGGTGGGGCTATGGCTCTGATTCTCATGAAGGTTGGTTGGTGTTCAACGTAGGCAGGCTCTTTCACTTACTATTAAGACTGTAAGAGAAAATAAGTTATTATGCAAACAAAAAAATTGCATGACACCAAAGATAAGAAAAATAAAAATAAAAAAATTGCATGAAATTTAAGTAATTTGAAATGTTCTTTTTTCTTATAAGAAAATTAGAGAAGGGTGTGAATGTGTGATTATAGTGAGGAAGTGAATAGAAAAAATAAAGGATATTAACAATGAGAATAACGGAGGCGCTAGGGGAGAAAATGGTGGAGGCAGTTATTAAAAAATATTAAAGTATTTTATTTAACATTTTGAATTACAATAAAAACCTTGTAAATCTAAGTAAGGATATTTATGGATTATTTGAGACAAATTATTTAGATTGAAAACAACGTCTAGTTCTGGACACAGTATTGTTTCCCTCTTCATTTTGTTTTTTGAAATCTTAACCATTGTCCCGTGGTCAAGTAACAAACCAGATATGTATCCGACAAATACATAAAAGTGACTAGTTTATGGTTTTTGCCTCTTGTGAGGAACAGGTATTCTTTGCGGTGATAGGTGCAAGTGGGAGCATATGGAGTGTCATCAACACAGCACCTAGTATTTTTCTATTTGCTTTTGTTCAGATAGCAGTCCATCTTGCTATAATCCTTGGACTGGGAAGACTTTTTCGCTTTGACTTGAAGCTGTTGCTTATTGCATCAAATGCTAATGTTGGAGGCCCAACAACGGCATGTGGAATGGCAACTGCAAAAGGATGGAGCTCTCTAATTGTGCCTGGCATTCTTGCTGGTATATTTGGAATTTCTATGGCCACTTTTCTCGGCATTGGATTTGGTCTGACAGTCTTAAAACACATGTAAAATTCCCAAGTTCTTTATATGCAAACATTCCATGTAATCGAAGATCTTCTCCCTTTTCTTGTTTTAGACAAGTTTGTTGTATTGTTTTACTACAACATGCTAGAATAATCTGAGACGGACACATTTTCGACAATTAGTGATTTTATGGAATTGTTCATTGAAGGCTATAATGCAGGCTTTAGAGATGATATCGAAACATATTGTTGATTGATACCCAGAAGCTAATCGAAATATAGGCCTATTTTTCGAAGAATTAATGAACCATAGTTTTGGCATTGATATGCCTCTTATTCTAATGAAGGATATAGAAGGAGCTCAATGCCCTGTCTTTTTTAGAATTTTGGAGATGAGAGTCACACTTCCATTTTTCAGAACAGTGTTGAGTAGGCTAAACCAACTTTCGTGAGGATTTAGAACCAGCAACGAAGCCTCAAGTCCTGAATCCAAATGCAGTGTTTAGGAGGCTAAACGATTTTGGATCACGTAAACAAAATTCACAATTACAACCATTGAAACAATATTTAATAATAGTAATGGTCAACAAATTAAGTCTAATAATATTAACTAATATTAATATGAGTTTTATTAAAATTAAATTAATAATGATATAAGTTAGTTCATGGAGAATAAAATTCTAACAATTTCCCACTTGAATTACTTATATCAAGAGTTATAGAAGAAATCGCCAAAGCAACATCAATAAAAGTGGCCACATAAATGTCAATAGTGAGACAAGTAATATTAGTTGCAACAAACCTTAACGCAGAAATTGTATTCGATAGGGATATTAATATCAAACATGTCAAAACACTTGCAAACTCTTAATTATGAAAATGTGAGACACGAATATGAACCAAAATAGTAAGATTATTTGCAATTCTTGAACATAATGTAGCATCCAAGATGCTTGCTAACAAAATAACAAAATATTAAAATATCTTAGCTTCATGAATGAGACTATGTAAAAATATTTGCTACAGGTCAACAAAACAACATCACACCAAACATAATGTAGATGGCATGGACATCATTAATTGTCTCGAGATATATACATAATGATACCATAAACAAAAGAGCAACAAGATGTTCTTGAAACATTTTGGCTGTTAAGCCTTTGTTGAGGGGATCTACAACCATGAGCTCAGTGCTTATATATGTACTCAATGCGAATACACAAGGTATTATACCTTATCTCAAAATGTTTGGTTTGCTTGGCAATATTACAAGTCTCATACTTTGAGCTAACTTTTGGGGTGGTAATATCAAAATATTACAAGAGATTACCATCCCAAAAGCTAATAGGGTAAAAATGTCCAAGGTTTTATAAATCTCATACTAGTTGTATAAACAATCGATGTGAAACTTGTAACAAGCATATAGACGCAGGATAATTACAATAAATTGTTAGAGAGCTAACAATACTGTCCCTAAGATGGAATTCAAAAGTTAGATTCTTGAGCAATATAGCATGACGAGTACCATCATAACAACCAACATTTATTTTATAAAATAATTTTCAAAAACAAAAAAGCTAGAACAGAATGATACAACCTTAAATCGCGTATGCTGTTGACTGAAAGATTGTCAAATTAAAAAATCAGAAAAACATTTCTGCATACTGCATATACGTTATTTGTATTTACTTTTAAAACGACGTCGTTTTGAGATTGAAATATTAAAAAATTATAACTATAAAGACTATAATAACTCTGAAATAAATTAAAATTACAAAAATATCATTATTTTCGCTCAAAAACGACGTCGTATTGAGCTTACTGCAGATAACTTATCTACAGAAACTATAGAAAAAACGAACCCTTGAAAAATACCACGCTACTAAAACACACATAGGTGTCTACTCTGTTTTAGTAAATGCATTAATTACACATAAATTGTTAAACATTATAGAAAAGAGAGCAGTTCAAGTCTTTAGAGGATGGATTTCACTTTAGCAACAAGTAATTTTATCTTCACTAATTTTATTTTATTTTTAATTATAAAGACTGATTAGCAACTGTAAAGCCAAGTGTGTATGGGATTAATTTGATTCTCAGGTTTCTTTTCTCTAATCTTGTATGGAGAATGTCTTGCCTTAATCTAAAAAAAAGACATACGTATATGTCTCTGTATTTTGTTTGTGAACAATGGAGCGAACACTTGTGTTTTACAAGATAGATAAAGATGTTAATTCTATCTATAAGATTACACTAATAGGTAATTAATTTATTTAATGATTAATATATTTATATCACGTATTAAAGTTGGCTCTTCGAAGGAGAGTTTTCCCAGTAACAATTTTTTATCAACTGAATCTTTGAATTTTTACCTATTTTTAAATAAAAAAGTTTGTTCTAAATGGCATGCCGTGATCTTAGTTGGCATAATGTATTTAAGTTTCTGCCAATTAAAATATACACTTATGATCAATACTCAATGACAATAAAAAAGCTCACACTTTCAATTTAAGCTGCATAATCACAATAAAAAAATAATACATAAAACTTAAAAAAAAATCCATCCAGATAGTAAATACTGTATTATGGGGATGTTAGGTAGGAGAGTTTTTTTTTTTCGAGTGCCTAAGAAAGTTGAGATAGGTTTCCTAGTTACTATGTTTGTTTGGTAAGAGATTTTAAAAAATTTGCCCATCATTCACATTTGCATAGCAATCTCAGTTTGTGTATAAAATAAAATAAAATAGTCATTTCAAAATACCACCCAGATATTCTCATTATCCCATCAAATCAAAAAGTAGGAAAAAAGCAATAAACACAAATATCTCTTCTCAAAAATCTTCTTTATATTTAGTCAAGGGTTAGTTCGGTAATTTCATCTCATTTTTCTATCAATATTTTACCTTCATCCAAACATAGACTCAGAAAATTTAATTCAATTTTTCCGGTAATATTTCAGCCTACCAAATAATTTTTTTTCTTTTTTAACTTTCTTACAAAATTTATTTTTTCACCATATTCTTAGTAATTGTATTTTTCTGGTAAAAAAAAATTTCTCTACGCCCTATTATTATTATTTTGCATAGACATGATATTTTATATCACATAATTTCCTGCCATTCCTGTAACTGGAGTCTCTTAGTACGTCGCATGATTTCCCAACTAATTTCTTTTTGTTATTTTTGGAAAAATCCCATCACATGTTTATTTTATTTTATTTTTAAAAATTCAGTCGAGAAATTTTCAGGGCATGCTTCGAACTACAAATTTTTTTAAAAAATAAAAATTAACGTGTATGTTAGGTGCTTCTAAATTTTGAAAACATTGAAAAATCATGATATAGGAACTACCCAAATACAATTCTCAACTGAATATTAAAGCCATTTCAGCGTGACAAAAAACGTCTTGAGCAAAATAGTAAAGCCAATTCAGCGTGACAAAAACGTCTTGAGCAAAAAGTGTAGAATTCGATTTCATGTTGCTGTAAAGACAAGCTAAGCTTCTACGGGAACATGTCTCGTGTCGAAATATATTTTGGTTTAATGCAAGAAAACGACGCAAAAAAAAAAAAATTATTTAAAAATATGTGACAATTGCATTGTAAGGAATACGGAAGCCAATTTGAAAATATGTTCTCACCAATTTCCCTCATGTAGGAGTCAAGTTTCAAGCTGCAAAACCGGTTTCTACATCTATAGACATACTAGTCTCTTTACCCTTGCTCTATCTTTTGTTCAAATCTCGAATTATTATTCAACGTTGTGGTTATATATATTATATATATATATATACATGCTTGAGCTTTGAACTTCACCACAAAAGGAGAGGAAATGAACATCATGGATTCAGAGAAGAAGAGTAGAGATGCTCCTACAACACTTAAGTTTTTTCAAATGGGAATATGGTGGTTCTCAATGTTGATCTCTCTTGGGTACATAATGGTTTGGATTATGATGCCCACAAACACCTTCTTCCTGCATTGGTTACCTGACATTCAAGCAAAGACAGATACAATATTCTTCGGAAAACAAGGTCTGTCACTATAAATCTGAACGTTAGATCCTTTAGCATGCTTTTGTAGTACTTGCCTCTTCACTCTCTCTCTCTTTCTTTCTTATACACACAAAGAGACAAGCACTATTAGAATAGAAGATGACATCTAAAATGCACTCTTCAATATATATTGTTTCCCTAAGAATATACTTATCTTATTCCACCCTTAAGTTTGACTGCTCCACAAAGTAAGAATTCTTGCAAATCATAATGTTGGTGAATATGATATACTAAGTTCAAGTTCTTTATCCAATGGTATTACTCAGAAACTAAAATGTATGTATATGAGAAGAGTAACATTTACTAATTAATTACTTTTAAAGAAGGAAGTATGAATGAGTTGATATTCATATTACTTTTTCTTCTTTTTTTCAATTATGTCTAAAATATAACTACCTATATATGGTCATCTAATATTTCGCCAGTCAATGCAACTATTTTATTTTTTTTCCTTCCTCTCTCCTTGCACAGGAACAAACTTACTCGTTTACACATTTCCCATTTTATTTATGACCACTTTGGCCAGTCTATACCTTCATTTGGAGCAGAAACGTTCTAATCATAATACTGAAAGGTACATTATTTCATACCTTATTTGTTTCATCATTTTCTTTTTCTTTTTCTTTTTCAATATTAACGCCTGACCAACCAAATATGTTTGACTGATTCATTGTTTTTAGCAAGGTGGAATTTATAGGATTGGCATCATGGAAAAGACCATTGCTTGTAAATGGTCCTCTTGGGATTGTCTCTAGGACAGAGCTCGCTTTCATTGTCATGTTTGTTTTACTATTAATTTGGTCCTTCTGCTCCTACTTACATGGCATGTTTGCAAGCGTGGTTACGCAAGCAGCTAACTATAGAGAGCAAGTGTAAGAAAATACCTTTAACTCATTATTTGATATGAATTTTTATATCATAAAATATTATTTGTTACCAAATTCAAATACTTTTTTTTGTTCATAGTTAGTGAACAGGAAAGAGGAAAATGAAAGTGAAATGCAAACCTTAATCTCTGAAGCATCGTTTGTTAATGCATTCCCAGTAACAGAATGGTTCTTGTTGCACAGGTGGGAAGCCAAGCTGGAAAATTCAGGCCTCGCTTTAGGCCTTGTTGGGAATATTTGCTTAGCTCTTCTGTTCTTTCCGGTCTCAAGAGGGTCTTCAGTTTTGCAGTTCATTGGCCTAACTTCAGAGGGAAGTATCAGGTATCATATCTGGCTAGGACATAGTGCAATGGCCCTCTTCACAGCCCACGGACTAAGTTACATTGTTTTTTGGTACATGACACATCAAATGTCAGAGGTAAATAATCAGTTGTTGCAATTAGTTGTTCAATGTCAATTGCTTTTTTTTATGGCACTTTCTGTTATGCTATAATTTCCTTGATCAAACTCAATTTACTTTGTTATATCATTTTTTGGGACTAGACACACCAAATCTCAAAGGTCACAATCAGCTGTTGCAATCCACTTGTTCAAAGTCAATTTCCTTTTCTTTTCTTTTTTCTTGGCCATTTTTCAATCATAGACTATTACGCCATCTTCAAACTATGCTTATAACCATACATCACAATCCAAAAACTTTTTGTTGCAGTTATTCACATGGAACAAAGTTGGCGTCTCAATTGTGGCTGGAGGCGTATCTTTGTTAGCAGGATTAACCATGTGGGCTGCTACCTTACCTTCTATAAGGCGAAAAGTTTTTGAGCTTTTCTTCTACATTCATCACCTTTACATTGTTTTTGTAGTCTTCTTCGTGCTACATGTAGGAATTTCCTATTCTTGCATAATGCTCCCAGGATTTTACCTATTCTTGATCGATCGGTACCTGAGATTCCTACAGTCCCAGCAGAATATTCGGTTGGTTTCTGCTCGTGTTTTGCCTTGTGAAGCTGTTGAACTGAATTTCTCCAAGAATCCAGGTATAGATAGAGAATGAAAGAGACCCTGCGAAGTTTTTTTGTATGAAATGTGTATTATTGGCTCCATTTTAAGTAACAAAGTCTGTTTCTCTCATTTTACTACAACAGTGCTGTGCTATGCTCCTACGAGTATCATTTTCATAAATGTTCCTAGTATTTCCAAGTTGCAGTGGCACCCTTTTACGATCACCTCCTGCAGCAATACTGATTCTGATACCTTAAGCATTGTCATCAAAAGCTCAGGAAGCTGGTCCCATAGTTTGTACCAGAAGCTATCATCTTCATCTCCATTGACCCACCTTGATGTCTCAATTGAAGGACCATATGGACCAGCTTCAACCTTTTTCTCAAGGTACTGGAGACTTACTAAAGGATCCCCCTTCCTCAATGTTTTCATGAATTTTCATTCTTTGGAAGATTTCAGATTCAAAACATAAAATTCAACACAAATAGATCTTCTTTTTTCTTGATTAAAATTCATTTTTCAAGCAGGCATGAAATGCTAGTGATGTTTAGCGGAGGAAGTGGCATTACTCCTTTCATCTCCATAATCCGTTCGCTTCTGTTTAAGGCCAACACTGAAGGGGGCAAAGCTCCTAGAGTTCTTCTCATATGTGCCTTCAAAAAGTCCATTGATCTTACCATGATAGACCTCCTTCTCCCTGTTTCAGGCACTGCCCTTGACAACTCACTCTTGCAGCTTCAGATTGAAGCCTATGTAACAAGAGAAAAGCAGCCAGCAATGAATGACAGAAAGCATCTTCAAACATTATGGTTCAAGTCAAATGCATTAGATGAACCAGTTTCTGCAGTCTTAGGACAAAACAGTTGGCTCTACCTTAGCATTATAATCTCATCCTCCTTTATATTATTCCTTCTACTCGTTGCCATCCTAAATAGATATTACATATATCCAATTGACCATAATTCAGACCTGATATACCCTTATTTCGCAAGGTCCATTCTAAACATGTTATTGATATGTGTATCTATAGTCATTGCAGCTACATCTGCTTTTCTCTGGAACAAGAAACAGAATAAGGATTGTAAGCAGATGAAAAACACTTACACATCGACTCCATCAACTTCTCCGGGCTCAGTATGCTACAATGCTGACAGAGAATTAGAGAGTCTTCCCTTCCAATCCTTTGTCCAAACAGCTAAAGTACATTATGGTGAAAGACCTGATGTAAAAAGTAAGATAATTTGATTATTTTGTTCCAATTTTTTCAAATTAGTTGGGCACATATTTTTTCCTTTCATGCAGTGCTATTTCTTAAAGTTCATTTAAATCTTTTAATATTGAATATTTTTATGCTAAATGATTTCAAATAAAAAAATTAGTGATCTATCAAGTGATGCATATTGAAACATGCAACTGAAATTATGGGATTGTTAACATAAGTTTCCAGCTACGTTTTATCGGTCATAAAAAGTAAATAACTGCTTCAAATGTTCAAGTAAAAAACCTAAACAGGAAAATTTTTCATTCTCTGGCAGAAATACTCTCTGACTGTGATGGATCAAGCATTGGAGTTCTTGTTAGTGGCCCAAGGAAAATGAGACATGAAGTGGCATCAATCTGTACATCATCTTCAACAGATAACCTACATTTTGAGTCCATTAGCTTCAGCTGGTGACATCTAAATGCTGTATGCATTATTTTGTCACAAATGTCTTCCTCATCTAAGTGCGACACTCAAGATCTCTAGTTTCATGTATACTCTTGTAATACAAATAACAAAAGTGAATATTCTGTTTGTACATGTTATGTATAATGGATCACTTTACCATATATACTATGATTAGTTAGGTGAAGATGTAATCTGATGGCGTGCGATGAACTCCATAATCAATTGTTTCATTCCGAAACAGAACCGAAATTGCGTTAATCCTAACAGCTTCCCGGACAAGTGCCACAACTGTATAGATGGCACAAAATCTGAATTGTTTTCTTTCATCCCGCAACATTCGTGGATTTCCTCCGACAAAACTACTCAAAATAAAAATAATTATTACTATTATTATTTTGAAGGAGGAAGAACAAAGGTATTGTATAATTTAATTTAGATCTTTCTATAAAATGGATAATCCACTTTCATCTCTAGGCTCTAATGAATTTAAGCCAAACAAGATAAAATTCATTACTTTTTCTTTGTAATTTTTTAATTATGTACTATTAAAAAAAACTGTCAACATATACCTGCTGCCAGATCATAAGTTTGAAGAATTAAAAAGGATGCAGAGTTAGTAAGATAAGATTTGGCAAGAATTGCTACTTCAAAAGAAAAACACCAGATACTTGAACCTGTTTCCTCTCTTATTTTTAAGTCATCTTTACTGCTGTTTCATTGTGTAAAACAAGCTTGAAATTAGAGGAGTTAATCATGGTCACAGAAGTTTACTTTCAGCCATCAAAATCTGTTTATGAAATAAAATAATATGAAAACACTACCTAGCAGACCAAGGGCCCCTTGCCCATTTGCTTTGTGATATTGCTGCTTTAAGATCATCATTAGAGCACACATCTACAATATTACTGCAAAGCAAAATACTGTGCTCGTCAATCTGACTCTGTAAGGGATGCAGATGTGCATGTGTGTACAATGGCATGTCATGCATAATTTGAAAACATTAAAATTAAAGAAAATATATTTCTCCAAAATGTCAACAACAACAAAAAAAACTATTGAGTTAGTCATGCTGTACTAGTAGTCTATAATCAAGCCCATGGAAATAATCTATTGGAGCATTCTTAAATCATAGAAGTCTAACAAACATAGGAAATCCTCCATTCCAATTGTTTGCTCGTATAAAAGATTAAAATAATTTTTTGTAACAACAGAAGCCATCAAAGGTACTTTTTAGTTTATTATGACATTAAAAAAAAAAAAAAAAAAACCACTCCCCGTTAAACCCGACTAGCGAGTGTGGGGTGGAGGTAATCCTTGTACGCAGCTTTACCCTTACATAATTGCAAAGAGGCTGTTTCCTGGATTCGAACCCATGACCTTTCAGTCATGAAAGAACAGCTTTATCACGGTTCCGGTTCGTCCCATTTAGTTTATTATGACATTCTTTTAGTAAATTGTTGCACTAGTAGACTTGGTTTGCTCAGTAAAGTATATGACGGGCCTCTGGAGTCTATGAAAAGGTTGCGCCCTACTCTTGTGTCTGATATTCCTTGAGGTAGTTTTTTTTTTCTGTGTTTTGTTCTGTTGCTTTGTGAGAAAGAAATACTGATATCTTAATTTTCCTGGTGGTAGTCACCTCCAGTCTTTTACATCAATCTGATTTGCTGGTATCATCATTTTGATATCAGAGCAGTTTCAATCCCGATGGTGCTTTATGGTTCCATGGTGCTTTATGTTCCGAAGGAGAATGGAAAACAGTTTAATAGGGGGAAGGGGGGGATGTAATTTCCTAAAGAAATTCACAATATCATATCAAACATTCGAGGTTATTAGACAGTCATATTATTAGTAAATAAAAATTAAATAAACTGATACAACAAATGTACTCCACAGGAAGATCTGCCATAAAGTGCGACATCAATTACCTGTGTTTCAAAGACACAGAGAAAGTTTTGCCCAAGGTTGAAGCTGGTTCCCCTCTACCTGTATTACTTGTCACCCATCAATGCCATCATGGCCTCAATTGTATAGGTCTTACAAGCCTCCAGCAAATGTTTCTACTTTATATTTTCGACCTGTAATAACAGATATTGCAGCTTGCTAATAAGCAAATCTGGTATAGAGTCAATCATCTAGATAGCCTGCAGTTGAACACCAGTATTAGGTCATGGTAACTGGATCATTTGACTAAACATGTGATTCACAATGGTTTCACTAGTAGGTCGAGAACCTCTAACAGCCTCAAGAAGTGCAAAAACTTAAGTCAAGACCACGGATGAGAAATTCATTTCAACTTACATAAAAATTCATTTCAAATGTGAATTTGAAAGCAATAGCAGAAAACGGTAACCACCACGAGCTTCTTCCTAAAGTTTCTTTCCACCCCCAACTGTTATTCAGGGCTAAAATCCTCGAAATGACTTGCTTCTTTCTTTATAAACTAGTATAGGATAAACTGCATAATATAAACCATAATCTCAGCAACTTGTTCTTTAATCTTTATATCATTCCTTCCCTCCTACATGTAATTATTGTCCAGTCCCGAAGCGTATCCGTATGTGGCGAATCACCATTGTCCCACTAACCGGACCCGTAATCGGGTAAGCTTTGATTTGAAGTTTTTGAAGTTTTCGCATAAATGATAAAAAAAAAAAAAAATATGCCAAATTACACTCCGCCATGTCTATCTTTAAGCAGTGCGCTTTTTTTCTTTGTTGATAGAAAAGGATTCTTATCTGAATCTGAAAACCTTAATCATCAGAGCAGTCTTAATAGAATATTATTTTTCCTGTTATAAACAAAACGAACCACCAAAATAGGAAAGCCAAGAGATAAGCGCATTAATAACGAAAACCATTCATTGAAATGACTTGGGCATATTAAACCTTTTCAACATTTCTTACAAATCTCGGGTAACAGCAAAACAACATAAGGTCCATCATCCTCTTAAAACACCACAATAATTGCCACAACATCAGTGGCACAAAATATCAACTATATCGAGTTCTTTACTTGCAGGGGAGAAATCAATTTTTAGGCAATTTTGGTGTCTCTATCAACTTGAAATCAGCAGCAAAGTCATTCCACATAGCTAATTTTGGAGTCTTGGAATGTGCTGGGGACTCATGCTGAATAGACAGAGACTGCACCTCGGCCAAGTGTTCCGGCACCTCCTCCAATTCCCAGCATGGACTATCACACTGAAGGGTGCACAAATAGTTAGGATAAACAAAACTGGAAAAGACAGACCAGACAAAACATAAGGAATTGCAAACCAACCTTCAGTTTAGGTGGTTCAAAGCAAATTGTCATGGGATCATCTGAATCTGATCAAATTACAAATCAAAGAATAAGTAATCCAAGTTCCAGCCAAAATGACACAATGGAAAAAATGAACAGCACTACCATTCCAAAATGCACAATAGAAAATATGAATGTAGTAATTACCATCCCCAAGTTCAATAGTCTTGAAAAATTTAAGCACATCCACAGTTTCAAACTGTGATTTGATACATTCTTTGTGGTTGTGCAACATTCGTTCTTCAGCAATTGCACTGAGATGAAGAGATTCCTCTGTCAAGGAACTTGGCTTCAGGTTGTTTTTATTTTTTATCTCTGGAACATGTGGCTTCCCCAAGTTTGAAATGTCAGAAAGCGCTTTCCTGCTACCACTAAGTGATTTCTCAGAAGCTTTGATGCCTTTCTTAGACCCAAGCGGTTTTGATACCTGACTAACAGAGAGCTTGCCTGTGTTTACTGAACTATCAAGGCCTTTCTTTCCATCTACTTGGTTTATGGGCTTCCCTGCGTTGGATAGATCACCAAGTGGTTTTCTTCCCCCAGCCCTAGTTTTCCTCTGTCCTGTAAAATCTGCCTTCCCAGAAACAGTTCCTGCTCCTGCCACCAGCATTAAGATTTAGCCAAGGCATGGTAAACACAAACAGTTAAGGTGAAACATGTTTAAGCCAAAAGAATCAGAAGAATACCATTAATGTGGGCACTGAGGTTTTGGTCTTGAAACAAGCGACCAGTTCGTGTTGCCATTTGTGTTAATGTGACCGATTTTCAAATGAACGTCCTGCGTATATTGCACAAGGGGTTAAGCCATCTTAGAAAAGTACCACATCTAATCCTGTCTTCATCTCATCATTATTTTCAGGAAAACTCAATAAACCCCTAAAATTATCATTTGGCACCAAAATTCCCATTCAAGATATCAACTTTTCACTAGTTCCTTTATCTTATTAAACTGGAGAAAATTAAAAAAAAAAATGTAAAATTAACCCAAGCTTCAGAAATCAAAACCCTAACCTTCCACACGTCAATGTCCTTAAACTTAATGTAGATATTTTCCCTATATCAATTGGCCTAAAGGAAGGAGAAACCTCCTCCTTTTTCTGATTCTTCGGAAAGAAGAAGAAGCATGCAAATGCTCAATTATATGAAACCACACTTCCCTGAAATCATCTTCACCCAAAGAAAGGGAAAACCCCATTCAAGATTGCAATTTCCAAAACTTGCACTTTTTCGTACATCTAACTTGACTGAAGAATTCGAAACTTGAGGAGAAGCTAACAAACCCAACATACACATTCAAGATCGATCCATTTCTCCAAGATTCCCAGGATTCTCATCACCCCAACAGCGAAAAACCAAAGAAAAAAACATTCATGCAATCGAAACCCCACTGCACTGGCTAGATCGACCCAGTCATTCAAGAAACAACTCTTTGATTGAAAAGAACTAAGAAGAAAGAGGAAAAACTTACAAGCAATGCTGGAACGAAAAGAACACTTCTCTTGCTTTCTTGATTTCTGGATTTTCTCGTGTTACTCCGATAATTTTCTCAGACTTTCTTTCTCTCTTTGTTTTATCGATGATTTTGAAAGTTTTATGAATAAACAGGGCACCTTTATATAGTCGCAATGGGATTTCAACGGTAACTTGAATTATTTTTACATTGTTATCCCTGTAAGGAAACCTAATTACATTAATACCAATCATGTTTCTTACCGTTGCCTTTCCAAATTCATGGTTTGGATTTAGGTCCTTTTTTGGATATTAAATAATAATAATCATAACAATAATAATTCGATAAATTTAAAAAAACAATATGCTTTTTGTGGATTTAATGATTTTTTAAAATTATGCCGTGTAAAGAATTACATTATACATAATGTAAAGTAAATATTTGCATGGAAGCATTCGGGCTAACAGTATAAAGAAAATGCATGCACGTGAAAAATAATAGAATTGTTATATATATTCTTTTTAGTTTGTTATATAAATTATCATTAGGGAAGATCACATTTATCCACATTAATGAATAAACGAAGTTGCATTTTGCAATCGGGCTTATAGAACAAGTGATTATGTGCAATTTCGTTATTTTCCGAATTAATTTATTATAGTATCCATTTATTATAGTATCCATTTATATTATCAGAAATTTACCGTACCCCCTAATGTCATAACATAACTTACCCGTACATTGTTGATGCTTATGCACAAAAATTAACGACTTAGATAAAGAATTAATTTTACACTGGAATGAAGAAATCTAATCTCTTTTATATATATATATATATATATATATATATATATATATATATATATATATATGGGGATTGATTTTCTCATGTTAAATGAGAATTCAATTCTCATATTGTAGAGATAAAAAGCATGTGGGGCCCAGGTGTTAGAAAAAATTATATGTAGGACCCATGTCAGCACGGAAATCGAAGGGTGTGTAGGAAAATTTGAATTCTCATGTTAAATGAGAATTATAAAACCCAATATATATATATATATATATATATATATATATATATATATAGGGAGGATACTTTGACACTTTATTTAAGAGTTGTTAGAAAAAAAAATATCAACGACTCTGATTTGTAAGCATGTGATACTATTGATCTTTTTTGATCTAACAGCTATCAGATGAGGTGTCAAAAGATTATACCCCATATATATATATATATATATATATATATATATATATGCTTATCGTTTCTCAAGCTGCTTGAGATAAAGGAAGAGAGAGAAAAGAGAATGATAACCATTCAAAGGTGAATCAATTAATATAAGAAAATAAATAAATAAAACGACGTAGTTTTGGGATAGTCAAAGATAAACTTATCTCAAGTTATTTGAGAAATATTTTTTCATATATATATATATATATATATATATAGAGAGAGAGAGAGGGGGGGGGATAACATTGACATGTCTGTTTGCATGATCCAGTGGGAATAGGATTATTAAGGAGTTAACTCTGAAGACACTTGACCATATATTATTATTATTATTATGGGTTGAGGCACCATGGGCTACATGCCCTATCAAGAAAAGTCCCACGAGAGGCAGGGAGATTGGGCCAGACCTTATATTATCTTGTCCAAATTAAATAACTATCTACACAAAAATGCAAAATCCACGTGCATAATGAAATTTATCAAATCGAATAAACCTAGTCTTAAAAATCACAGAAATTAAAAAACCAAATGATACATCTCAGAGAGGAAGAGAAAGAGAGAACACTAACAAAGAGATGTGGGAAATAAGGGGAAATTCTTTCATTAAAAAAAAAAAAAAAAAAACTGAACCTATGCTTACCAACTCGAATTCTGACTGAGAATAATTGAGTGTTCAAATCAGCTCTCAAATTATCTCACCTTGAAATTGTGAAACATAAAAGAAAATCCCTACATAAATAAGGGAAACATGCAATTTGGAGGAGGGGGGAATCATTTTATTATCAAACTGAGTCCTCTATGGGAATTCTCGTTAGAAGATATCGCCTAAAACAGAGAATTATGAAGAGAAATCAGAGAGATATTAATATGAGAATGAAAGGAGAAATTCAATTTTGAAACAGGGACAGCCAATAAGAGAGAAGAGGGGGTGTAGTGTGAACAACGCAATAGTTCAGTCTTCAATACGAGAATTTGTAGAAAATATCTGGTGAAGGAGGATTGCTCTTAAAAAAATGTGTTTCGAAAAGGATTATAAGTAGGAGGATAATTCTAAAAGACTTGGGGTCATAAACTAATAATATTATGGTTTGACTTTTAATGAAAAGGTAAAAGTTTTCAACAGCTCCTGAATGACTGCCACTTTAATAGTTTATAAAAACCAATAGTTAGACATGTTGTGTTCGCAACAACAAATTCAAGGTACCACTTATTCTTCCTTTGTCATCATGAATCAACAAGTACAATTTTCCAACCCAATTCTTTCTTTTAAAAGTCGTAAGGTGAATAATGGTTCAACTTAAAAAGGTTGTGACTTTACTGCACTATTCCTAGTTCCTTCTTTTGCTTTGACAAAACTGGGCTTCTCTTCACCTGCTTTTGGGTGACATGTTGGTGATTATCGTTTCAGACATCCATTCCAGCAATCTGTGGTGATGGGAAATGGATTATTTCAGGATAAAATTTCATATGATCTGATCATGTCAAAAAATTTATTTTTATCTTTTTTTTCATTAATGTATGTGAAGAAAGAAGTAGATACGAAAATTGATCATGTGAAATTTTAAGACAAAAGAATCTATTTCTCTATATTTTATTTTATTTTTCCTGCCCTATCCCAACAGTAGTGCTGTTGTGTTTTTCTGTACATGAGATTAATGGCATGCTTCCTCTCTTTTTTCAATAAAAATAATAAGAGAATGTTTGTGTTTAAATCATACTTTAAAACTTTACAAAAAAAAAATAAGTTCGTTATTATCATTAAAAATTCAAGTGTGAAGGTAAGTTTCCTATTGATTAAGAATGGATTAAAAGATGATCATATAAGACTCATAAACTTATTATTTTAAGATTTTGAGTTAAAATTTAGGGTTTTATTTCTCTTATATAATATGAGAGAAGTTATCTTATGTTGTGAGATAAATAAAGTGAGATCTACTAATTTTTAAGAAAAGAAAAAAGAAGAAAAAGAAAGTCACATCTTTTTATGTGAATGTAACATAAGAGATAAATCTCATGTAACATAAGAGTATAATTTCCCTAAAATTTGTTTTGTTGTTGATTATAATTAAGTTTGTTGCTAAAAAGTTAAAGGTTTTTAAGTATCAGGTTTCTTAAAAAAATTATCAATTATTTTTATTATTTTGTATAATAAATACTAATTTATTAATCATGAAACAAAATGTAATTACAGTAGTAAATCCTCAAAACTGATTACCAAAAAAAATAAAAATAAATCCTCAAAACTAAATTGGATCTTCTTCACTACCCCTATTACCCCCACAAACTTGTCTTCCTTGAGAACTCTTATTATGGAAATGTTTGGTAGAGGGGGGTAATGCCCAGGAAAATGGGATAGGAAAATGATTTGGCCATATTTGGTAAGGAGAGTAAAAAAGAGTATGGGAAAAAAAATTTCTCATCTTTTACTTTTACGGCTTTTTGACCTTAGTAGTCTCATTTTCATAAGGTTTCACCGGAATAATTTCTTGGTCAAACATATTACTTATATAATGCATAACGACGTGGTACTCTGCGAGAATCACTTTAGGACGTAACACTTTAACAACCGCGTCCTTTGTATTTGTTCCTAACCACTGGAATATGATACCTTGGCAATCACGTCCTCTGGAACGTGATACCCTGACAATCACGTCCTATTCCCAAGACGCGGTACACTCTCAGCCGCGTGTCAGTGGGTCCCATCCCAAAAAGAATTCAACAGGAAGCGGTAGTGTATAAGCCGCGTTCCAGGTTACAAGTCAAGTCGGAGTCAAGCAGATATATATATTTCACCTAAAATTTAGACATATTGATATGTTCACGGTAAAAGAGTTCAAAAAATCCAATAAAAGCAACAAGTTATTTTCGTACAAGATGGTTTTTATAGTTGCTAGCAATTTATTCTTTACTGGTTAGAAGACTAACTCTTAAACCAGAGAATAATTAATTTAGAAATTTACTAACAATAAAATTATAATTTAAGGTATTGGATGAAGGTCTTTATAATAGTTTATATTATTCACTTACACACTCACTCATACAAAAGCCCTTTGGGCTTGAAGTATGAATTTTGCATATATTTTATTTTTATTTTGTTTACCTTAATATAAATCATTAAAAAACTCTCACTCATCACGTTAAAATTTTGGATTAAATTGTTTCTTTCACATATTGAAAATCGGGAAAGCAGACCAAACACGAAACAGGGGTATAAGATTGGGTACTATTGGATTTATTGGATTTTATGTACTCTTTTACAATGAATTATCAATATGCCTAAATTTTAGGTGAAACATATATATCCGTTTGCCTCCGACTTGACTTGTAACCTGGAACGCAGCTTATACACTACCGCTTCCTGTTGAATTCTTTTTGAGATGGGACCCACTGACACGCGGCTGAGAGTGTACTGCGTCTTGGTAATAAGACGTGATTGCCAGGGTATCACGTTCCATGACGTGATTGCCAGGGTATCACGTTTCAGTTGTCAGAAACGAATGCAAAAGACGTGGTTACTAAAGTGTCACGTCCTAAAGTGATTCTTACAGTACCGCGTCGTTATGCATTATATAAGTAATATGTTTGACCAAGAAATTATTTCAGTGAAACCTTATGAAAATGAGACTACTAAGGTCAAAAAGCCTACTTTTACACATGGAATAGCTATTGAATTTTGCCACTGCTAGGATGAAAATATTTTTTTCCCTCGTAGTAGGAAGAACATCACACTTTTATAAGACCAAAATACAATAGAAATGTAAACAAAGAAACATACGAAGCTGGAGAGAGAGTATCCAAAGGTATGAAAGTTTCATAACAGACTATTAGTATTAGTAAAATTAACCCACTATTTCCGTCAAATTTTTGGCTTATCAAATACTTTTTAATAACTTATCCGGAAAAAAAAATTCACCATATTCTCGAATTTTATTTTTTTTCCGATAAAAAAAATGTCTTATACCAAATAATTGCTTCCTTTTTCCTTTCCCTTTTGGGTTGTTCTTAACTGTTTTACTCTTAGCCAGTATGACTTGCATATGCCGATGCTCAATCAATATTAATATACATTTATGACCCTGTTGTCCAAAGATACACTGTTGGGGTCCGTAAGCAGCTAAATTATTCCTTCTCTTTTCAAAATGAGAAAAACAAAAAGAATAAGTACCAAAAAACAAAACAAAAACAAAAAGTCTAAGATTATATAAACCCTTCCCAGTCCAGGACAAATCACCGATTGAAATTTGAAACAAAAAGGTTACATATCACATGTGTCGTATGGATCTACTTTCGAGGCTGCACCAAAAAAAAGTCACCTATTTTTTGCAGACCATTGTATAATTTTCTCCAAGATGAAGGTCCAGGATAATCATGTGGTTGGTACTTGGTAATAGTCTAAACTTGTGGGAGAGCTTTTGGGCAAACGGGTAAATTTTTAAAAGTCTATTTTATTTAGTGCAAATGTGAATAGTGATGTGAGTGCACAAATTTTACACACTAGCCAGGTCACAACGATTGCTTTCTCTAAAAAGTAATTGGGTCTCACTATAATGGTTGGAAGATCTTTTCATTCAATATTAAGGATAGAGTTTGGAAAAGACTTGAGAGGGTTGGAAGGAAAGAATGCTATCCAAAGGAAGAAAATAAATTGTAATAAAGGCAGTGGCGCAAGCTATCCCAACTTTATTCTATGTCTTTGTCTTGCTTTAAAAACCCTGTTTGCCTAAGGAAGCAGGTGTTATGGGGTTCAAAGATCCTTTGAACCTGGCAATGTTTGCTAAGGGATGAGGTGGATGCTAAACCCGAATTCTCTTGTGGTAAGGGTGGGTGTTAAGAGTGAAGTATTACTCGGCAGGTTCATTCTTGAATGCTCTCTCAAGTTGGGGCAAATTGTTCTTTTACTTGGAGGAATCTTATGGAAGGAAGGCAGCTTCTAGAGCAAGGAATGCTTTGGTGAGTGGGTGATGGATTCTCAATCAATATTTGGGATGACTCTTTTGATTCCTTACAACCGATGGTTTAGAGTTACACAACCACAAACTAGGATTTCTTGAACTTGAAAGCTTTCCCAGTATTGCTGAAGATGCCATGCTTGAAGTTCCATCTCAAGATTGAAGAAACCTGATCAGAACTTGGTGAAGATTAATGTTGAGGCCCATATCAGAAGAAAATCATTCATTTGGGCTGGAGATATAGCTTGCTTGGAACTCATGTCAGCAAAGATGGGTCTTCTTCTTCTAGAGCTTGGGATATGCCTGATACTTTAAATGGTGGTGTTGGTTGGTTTATCTTACAATGCAATCATTCCTATGGATATCATCATTTGTTCATATGCCTCCTGTGCCCTTAAAACCTACACACTCTGATGCAATTGCTTAGTCCACCAAAACTAAAGGTGCTGGTAATTCGGTGAGCTCTGCGCCAGACTTTTCCCCTACTGAAGGCTGATATCATTAATTAATGAAAAAAAAAAAAAAAAAAGGTCAGCTAAAAATAAAATCACCTTAACAAATGTTATTTACGCAACATATTTCCATTGGCAATGGACCAATGGTGTATGATATTTTATTTGTTTATGTACAATGTAGTTGTTTATTTTAGCAAAATAAAGGGACTGATAAAAAAATGATACATGGTATCTAGATATGTTTTTAATAGGAGAGTGACAGAAATAATTTATTTGGATATGGAATAAAAATAAATAAGGTTTCTATCATGCATTGACAATTTGAATGAATCTATCCAATTTGCAAGAGTCGGCAACACTGTGATGAGCAAAATCTTAGGCAACACATTTAACATTGCACTATTAAACGGCAACATGTACACGTGAACCCCCCCCCACCCTCTATCTACAACGTAAGAAGTGCCTCATTCGTTTGGTTCTCTTGTTATTTGTCTTTTTTATTCTTTTAGCTAAGCAAAAGCACTGGGAATAAATAAATATATATAAATAACTTTAAATACATCATAATTAGATCCTTTCTTGTATTATGTGAATAAAATAAATTAATCCCTGAAAGAATAGCTCTAGTAGCATGATTAGCATCTCTACATGTTGCTTTCAGAACCAAATAAAAACACAGGAAGAAGCAATTGTACAACTCATTACCAGATAAAAAGAAAAGAAATTATATTCGGTGATACTTAAAAATATTATAAAATATATAAATACCTTAAGACGAACGTATCCTACAATGCACACCAATCTATTATACTGCACACGAGTAAGCTATCTCTACCAAACAGCAACTCGACTTCTTTCGCAAAGCCAAGTGATGATGATAACAGCACATAAATGAATCATATCAAATTCATAAATGCTGCTACGAGCAACATAAATTTTCTCGGAATCCAAACACTTTTTTTATTGCTTGTTTGGTGGAAGGAAGGATGAGGAGCGGGGATTTTCTTTAATACATTTTTCCAAACTCTTGTTTTCTTGCCTTTCCATTATCTCTAGATAACGTTAAAATACAGTAACAATGTGATATATAATATTCAAAGAAAAATAAAATAAAATAAAAATAAAAAAGAAAAGTGAGTGCAGTTAACGCCAAGCAGATGCGACGGTAATAGTTCTTCCCATCCACCCAAAGCAAATCCCACCGTTCTCTTCTCTCACCGTGACTCGGTTTCCATGACCGAGTCGCGCTTTGATTGACTCGGCCACCCTCTGACTCACCGGTTTCAACTTGAAACCCGCCATGCTCATGCGGGCGCGCCACTTTCCAAAAACCTCGCACCGTTCCACGCGATCCCTCCCTTCGCAAGCGATCGAGTTGCCCAGCCTCCGACTCAATCCCTCCTCTATCTTAACTCGCTCCGAGTTGTCCCGTGTTGGCGTCGACTCAATTGAGTCAAAAAGCGCGCCATAATAAGAACACGACTCGGCCACACGACCCGCAAACGGCGCCGTATTGGTGTTCATCTCTTGCTCCACCAGCGTCACCACGCTAGGCGCGAGTGCCTTCACGCGGCGGAGAAGATCGTCGCGTGGATTCTCTGTCGACACGCTCTCGTCTGGCATTCTGTAAAGCTTGAACGCAAAGTTCACAGCCAGCGGCCCCACCGGGTCACAACCCAGGGACTCGCGAGTCAACTCGGCGAGTTTGTTAGATACAACTTTGAATTCAAACCCAATCCTGAGTAGCTCCGCTTGTCGACCCAGCATCATGCCCACCGTCTTCAACCTCTCGCCAGAACCGTTCTCCGCCACGGCCGTGATCTTCACCGTGCCAGGCTTGCCGTTAAGACGCGCTGAGAACTCGTGAAGAAGGTTCGCGTATTGCCCCCCATGGCCGATATCGAAATCCACCACGCATAACTTGACGCCGTTGTTGGCGTTCTCGTTTTCATCGTCGAATGCGGCTTCGAGCATTGCGAGGTTGGCAGCCATGAAAGCAACCTTGAAGCAGTGGGAGTGTTCGAAGAGCAACTGAGTTGACTCGGCATGTTCCTTGCTGAACAGCTCCGCCACGGGTGGTGGATTTTCAACCGGGTTTATGCGCGATTTCAGCGCTGAAACCATGCAATCCGTGAATCGTTGATCCGAATTCCCGGTTGTGTTCGAAGCCTGCACCAAACGGGCGAGGATCTCCGTCGCAGCATCTAATTTCCCTTCGGAAATCGCCGATGCGGCCTCCATTAACGATAGCTTGGAACAGCTCGAAGCAGGTGAAGCCACAGAGGAAGAAGATGAGTTCGACGACGTTGTAGACGAAGTGGGCGAGGACGAAACGGGTACAGGTTTCTGGGTCTGAGTCTGCCCGGGAGCAATCAAGCTTTGTATTGTCTCCGAGTGCCATTCAGAGTTGGTAATCACAGAAACTGCATCACCTTCCTCATCATCATTGTCTTCCAAAAGCTGTTTTTCCAACTCCTGCAGACGATGGTCCATCATCTTCTTCTCTGGTTCATGGGTTGTTATTCTGTTGTGAACCTGAGCCAAACTGGAATTTGGGTATGGGAAATTTGTGTTTGGGAGGATCGAATTATTCATGGGTAACGGGGTTTGAGCGGTGGTGAGATTAACGGGATTTGGGCGAAGGTGGTGAATGGGTAAGCCGAAACGCTGTGAAGGGAAGCCCGAAGAGTTGGGGAATTCAGAAGGGGAAATGGAAAAATCCATCGGAGAAAGAGAACCATGCTGGAAAGTCCTGGGCTTCACAGAACGAAGTAGATAGTTGGAAAGGACTGAGTTATGGTTATTGTAGTTATTAAGGTTAAGGTTATGGTTATGGTTATGGTTATGGTTATGGTTATGGACTTGGTTGGTTTGAAATTCGGCGAGGGTGCGTTTACCGATGAGAGGGGATGTTTGGCGTTTGGCGATGTGAGATGAAGGGTCAAGGAAAATTGCAGGGAGTTGTTGCTGGGTTCGGTACAGAGGGTGAGAAGGGTGAAGGTTGTTGGTGGTGGCGGTGGTGATGGAGGGGGTGTTGTTGTTGTTGTTGTTGTTGTTGGGTGGAAGTGTAATGGATCGGCCGGGAAAACCTGCTGCTCCGCCGAAGAAATCCGAGGCTCCACCGCCCGAGAACCCCGGCGACGACATAGAGGACAGTGATGGGTTTGATTTAGCGAAGAAAACAAGAATAAACTAAAAGCTTTGGTTTATTGGAGAAAAGCATGGGACACAGATAGAGAGGGGTTTCTTTTGATATGGCGTTGAATTGGTGAAATGATTATAGAGGAAATATAAGGGAGAGTTTTAAATTTCGATTAAGAAAGCGCGTACGGGAGTTTCTTCTTCTTTTATTTTTTTAAAATTTTCTTTAATGATACTGGTACCGTGAATGTTTCTCTCGCGTTAGAGTTTGTACGTATTAAGATTACCACCGTTGGATTGTTTCCGATTCGAGATTTTCACCTTCCAACGGACGGTGATGAAGCGCACCAGAGGCAAAACGCATTCGTCACACATTCAATAACCAACTTCAATTCTCCTCGGGTGGCGCAACACCAACGCTCACGCGCGTGTTCAAACTCCAAACACATAAAGAGCGTATTACTCTTACGTTACCGTTTAGTTATCTTGTCGAAAAATTTGTCAATATTATTATTTTCCTTGTAATTTTTGTTGGATTTTTCGGTATCCTAATTTTTTTAAGCTATCCATATTTCTTAATAATTAACACATTTCTTTAATAAAATTTACTAACAATTATTTACAATACTGAAAGAATCTTCGATTATCATATTAGGTAGGTCAATTTCTTGTACGTTTTATTTTTTGAGTTGTTTTCAAAAGTTTTTGTTTTTGTTTTTGTTTTTCTAGAAACACTAAACAAATTTTAATATTTTTAAATATCTTATTTAATTAACATAAAATCTTTTAAACTTATATTTTAATTAAAATATTTTTAAAAATAATATAAGTACTTAATTTATTACTTTTAATTTGGTATTATGACATTTAATTATGAAAAAGAATATTATATCTATAATATATTTTTTCTTACCATCTCTTATACTCATCTTTATTATCGTTCATTAAAATCAAATAAACGGTTTTTATTTGGTGTTATTTTGTAACCGTTAAATTGATTTTAATTCAATAATTATAAAGAAAAAAAATAAAAATATAACCTTCTCAATTATGAATATATAAAACATGTTATTTTGATAACGACATATCATGAAAGATTATTTAAAAAAATGTAGCAATCATTTTACGAAATAAAGTGTAGTTAATTCGGCTTTAATTGAGAGGAAATAAATAAATGCTCTGATAGTTATCATATTGATTCTGAGTCGGTAATTGATTCTTTTTACTCATTTTATTATTTTTTTTATTTGGTGATTCCTGTTTATTCATTTTATTAAAGTGTAATAGTTCGAAACTTGTAGAAAAGTAAGTTATTAAATATATTAAATGACTTTGAGTTAAATTTTGAAACCGATGTGTTGCGATGGGATAAAAACCCTAAAATGATGCCGTTTATATTTATTTATTTTTTGTTAAGAAAGGAAAATACTCTAAACAAATTTTAATATTTTTAAAAAGCTTATTTAATTATTATAAAATCTTTTAAGCATATCTTTTGATTAAAATATTTTTAAAAAATACACAAGCATATAAGTACTTAATTTATGTACTTTTAATTTGGTATTATGATATAAAATTACGAAGAGGAAGATTATATTTAGATATTTCCCTTACAATCATTTTTACATTCACGTTTGTTATTGTTCGATTTTATTTTCTAACTGTTAATTTGATTTTAATTCAACAATAATAAAAAATACTTGTAAGAGATTATAACAAAAAAAATTACAAATATAATCTTCCCCAATTATGAAATATAAAAAAATGTTATTTCGATGACGAAATATCATAAAAGATAGCAATCATCTTACGAAATAAAGTGCAGTTAATTTCGGCTTTAATTGAGAGAAAATAAATAAATGCTCTGATAGTTATCAGACTGATCTGAGTCGGTAATTGATTCTGTTTATTCATTTTATTAACGTGTAATATGTTCGAAACTTGCATAAAAGTATGTTATTAAATAAGTTAAATGACTTTGACTTAAATTTTGAAACCGATGTGTTGCGATGGGATAAAAACCATCAAATGATGCCGTTTATGATTTTTTTTTTTTCTTATGAAAGGAAAATTTTCACATTAAGTTTGGTGATTTAGAATCTCTTTAAAATATCAAATATTGGTAGTTAAGTAAATAGAAAGGAAAGGGCTTCGGTTCGATTTCCACATGCCGACTTCGGGAGAAGTTTAAAGATTTTCATCTCTAACCCACCCTCACACTCCGGATTAATCTCATAGCTGGCTCAAAGAGTCGAGTTGAAATTTGTGAGAATATCATAGGAGGCCAATTCATCTCAAAGAGATAATTAGGATTGGGTTAACTCTAAAAAAATCTTCTTAAAAATTACACTTGTGGGTGTATTGAATTGAGATTTTAAAATATTTTAATTGATTATTTTTGGACAAAAAAATCCATTGGTATTCAATTAAGATTTTAAATGATTGAAAAAAGTCAAATGGTATTCAATTATAATTTTAAAATATTATTTTGAAGTCAAATCTAGTGATACTCAATCAAGATTTTAATCAAAGGAAAAACAATATTGTGGATGTGGTATTCAAAAATCTAACGATTTTAGTGGATTTTCTATTGTTATGAATTTCATGAGACTTTTTTAGTAAGAACTGAGAAGTATAAATAAGATGTCTCTCTCACAATCTCATCATGACTCGTAGAATTTCTTGATATTTCTCTTTTACCATGCTTCTTCTTCATTTGGCGCGGGTCGACGCACTCAAAACTAGGTTCGACCATGTGAGCTTCGTTAAAGCTCAAAAATAACAGATTTTTTAGTGATTTTCATCACAAAATAACCCAGAAACAACAACACAACAATATTCTAATCTAATTTATCTCAATAAAAGCAAAAAATTTAGAAGTTTTTGAGAACTTTTGAAAGTTTTAAAAAAAATTCAAGCTATGGTCGTTATTTTTCTTGGCACAAAAGATGTGATTTTTGTATTAAAAATAAGGGTAAGTATTGTAACAGCCAATTAGTGTTACTACCAATCAATTTTACTGTTAGATCGATTATGCTGATCCAACGGTTATATTTATTTCTACCTTTGTATGGTCATGATTCCTTATATTTAATGTGAAAGCATTAAATATGAGAAATCATTATCATACAAAGGTGAAAATAAGTATAAAGTATTAAATATGGAGAATCATAATTATACAAATATGGAAATAAATATAACCGTTGGATTCACATAATCGATCTAACGGTGAAATTGATTTGTAATAAATTGGTAGTAACACTAATTAGTTATTACAATATCTTTTCCCTTAAAAATAATATGAAACAGTGAGAAAATAACAGGAAACAAAATATCCCAAACCATTTTCATTTTATATCAATGAAATGAGACCGATTTAAAGGAATATTGAAACTTTCATAATATGAACACTATGATTCATAACAATACATTTATAAACGAAATTCATTTGCTATAGTAAATGATTTCAAATAATTTTTTGTGTCAATAGATTACTAAAAATTATTTTTCAAAAGCCCTAAAACAATTTAAAGTTTCAAAGTACCGATTGAAAATAATTTCAGACATTTTCTAAATATTCATGTAATAAAACCCATAAAATTCATATTCAAAATTTTCTTAGAATACTCAATGAAAACATGCATATGATATATGGTTAGAAAACTCTTATCACGTGGGACGAGAATCCCAAGATTTTCAATATCAATAGTAAAAAATTTCAAACGAAATTTTATCTTAAACTTTATGTTCTATATTTAAATTTCAAATTATTTTAATAAATAAAAAAATTGATCTTTTAATCATATATGCATAGCTTTGATACCAACTAAAAGATATAATTTTCAACTCATTGATCAAACCCAAGAGCAGAAACAAGAAGATCAGTGGCGGAGCCAGCATAGCAACCCAGCTAGAGCCAAAAAAAAATTAGCCTATATCAAACTTAGCTACGGTTATTTAGCCACATCTAAAACGTCGCTAATTTTTAAAAATCAACCTGCAAACTGTTTTAAAACCCCGCCCTATCCCAGGGTCGACCCCTCCGGGCAGTGGCGGACGCAGAAATTTTAAAAAGAGGGGGTGAAAATAAAAAAGATAGTTGTTATGTTCAAAGAAGATAGTTTCTATCTCCCAAAATAAAAAAGATTTTCATGAAACTTAACTAAACAAAAATGGAAAACCAAACTAAAATTAATCAAACTAAAATTAAACTATATATATATAAATATATTATATACTATCATACCAGTGGAGCTGGCAGAAATGACAGCTAAACATATTCTTGAGTTAGAGCCTGAAAATGGGGTTGTTTATGTCTTGTTATGTAATATATATGCTGCTTGCAAGAGATGGGAAAACTTGCGTGAAGTAAGGAAAATGATGATGGAGAGGGGAATTAAGAGAACACCCATTTGTTACAATACCTGTACCCAGAAAAATCGAAAGGTGGAAGTTGGACGGAACACGACTTTAGAATTTGATTCTGCCTGGCTCTAGAATTTACATAGCCAAAATCGAGAGGCTGAAGAAGGAGGTTTCCTGGTTGGTGATGGATGGAACAAGGAAAGGAGGGAGGGAATGATCTGATGTTTACAAGGAAAAATATGTGTAAGAGTGTGGGCAGAAGCATGGGAAACTAAAAGAAAAAATGTGTACAACACATTAATTTCATCATCCCATTTTGTTACATATATTATAAAAAAAATTATTATCAATTTTTTTTTTGTGGGGGGGCACCCTAGCCCCCTAGTGGGTCCGCCCCTGGATTCGGATTAGTAGTTAGATCTTACTTGCACGTTGACCCCTCTAACTCTCGAAACCCCTCGGTTGAACCCGTAACTCCCAGGTCAGAGGGGTCATTGCATTTTTTTTAGAAAAAAAAATTATACATGAAATGACGTTGTTTGATGTGTAAAAGTTGCTGCCTAGATTTAGAATTAGATCTGAAATCTGAATCGTTCTTCTTCTTCTCTTCCAATCTTCTCTCCCAGACTCAGACCCAGTCTCCCTATTTTGATCCCCTTCACCTCTCCTCTGTTATTCTCTATTGGGTAAGGGATCTCCTTTCACATACTGTTGTAGATGCATGAGAAGGACAAGAATGGTC